ACCTGGGGCTGCATGAAATCCCTAGCGAAGATTATGAAAGCTAAAATCTTTGAATTCTTCCGTGAATTTGACTCAATTGCTACAGAGAGCCCGCTGTTTTCTGAAGAACTACCTTCTTCTACAGAGCCGGAGACATCCTCATTTGAAGTTAGCCCACCAGCCAATACAGAGTTCCTTAACATTCCTTTTGGATCTCCAGATTTGAAATTTGCCGTAAGTCACACCATATCTCGCCGTTACTTTTACCTGTATACTAACATATTTTTTACTAGTACCTGAAAAGAGTCAGCCAATTGACAGGCCATCTCATTCCTGACCAGGAACTTGCATCGATGTCCAAGCTTTCTTCTGTCCAAACATACCTTATCCGCGCTTCGACCCCTAAACCTACAAAGCTTGCAGAACAGCTCATTGCCGAAGGAGTATTCGATGGTATCCCTAATGTAAAGATCTATCAAAGAAGACAAACCCCCATTGACCGCGAGATGGAGACTGGCCAATGGAAGGTCATTGAAGAGGAGCTTATCAAGAGGGGTCTCCCCGTCACTGGTCGCAAAGAAGCATGATGATATGCCTATTCTAAGCGGATGTTAGATACATTGGGTAATCATCGGCGGCAATATTGATGGTATATTGCATGTAAAATAGGACTTTCCTTTGAGGCGGGTTAATTTTAGAATAAATGTACTTTATATTAAGCATGTGATACTATAGTGGTCAATTTTAGTCTGTGATGTTATCTATTCTTGACTTTCTAGAAACATGATATGCAAAGCAGGGAGAGCATTAGATCGGCCCTTCGTCTCTGGGAACTTTCGCCATTTCACCAGTTCACCAATTTTAACATTGTACCTAGTGATATACCCAATCACCGGGTATTGTGATGGAAATGGCCGTACTGGAGTACGTGGTGTCTGGGACAGATGCTCATTTATCCACATGGAAGGGTTATTAGTAACATGCATCAAAAATAGGGCTCTGAGCCTTGCTGGATGGATAGGCTTCTTTGCCAAGTGTAGATATAATCCGTCACTCTATTAAGGCGAGGTTAAACATTCAACAGTCCATCAAGAGAATGACTATCTGCTGGCTGCCAATATTGGATTTCCCTACGGGTGTCCTAGACGGTGAAGTGACGGAGTGGCCTGTTGCTTCTCAGCGGTTCTTGGCTACTGGCAAGGACGTAGCTGGTAAAGTACGCGGTTGGCACTTCAAAACCGCTGAGTACGGCAAGTTCATGACATACGGCATTTTTATGTCGGCTAACGCGAAATTGAGAACCCTCGGGTCATAAAATCCACGTTTTTGCCCTGGCCCTTTTTGTCCTTAGACGTGAAAAGGGACTGAACGGCGTCGCTTCTTTCCGTCTTAGCACGCTTACGTCGCTCATTCTGTTCCTCGAGGACTCTAGCGGTTAACATAGCGGTGCCAGCGTTCTTTATACCGACCGCTGCAGGCGTAGCTGATGGAGTAGACATCTTGCTTTCGGTGTTGGTTTTTCCATTTGACGTGGTTTCTGGTTTGGCACTGTTCTCAGTATCACCGTTTGCCTCTCCACGGTTCTTCTTCCGCTTTTTGCTCGACCCTGGCAGCTTCTTCAATGAGTGGGCGAGACCTTGACGAGATAATTCCTCTAGTCGTGATTTTAACCGCTCTTTTTCAGGCTCGTGGGTTGGGAGGATAGGTATTACATTTGATGGGTCATAGGGTTCGTTACACTGGCAATATATGAATTAGAAGAAAGTTGACGGTATCAGCAAAAGGAGACGTCACCTACCTGTAGACATTTGTCGGACTTCATTTCACGGATGGCTCCCTCAGAAAATACGTGTCCACAGGGAACGAGATACACTGACTTCACATTTGGGCCAAGCTCCTTTTGCGTGACTGGGCAGATCCATCGACTTTTGCGCTTCCCCTCTGGTGCATCAGCATTCCCATCAACCTCAAATTTGAGCTCAACTACGTCGCGAAGAGACTTGACTCTTGCTTGCAGCACTTCATCGCAGTCGGCCTTTGCGCTGATAGCCTGGATATCATCTCCGGGTAGAAGATACTGCAAAACGGCGTCTTTATTGTATAGATTCCCAACGCCATCAGATACCACAGGAGAGAGCAGCTGCTTATGAGATAGAGGGCATGTCGTCCAGAAGTGTTCAAGGTGTTCTCGAAGCGTCTCCTTCAGCTGAGTTGTATTTGGATTCCGCGCAGCTTCTTTCACTAGCTCTCGGCGAGTTGGGATACTAGAAAAATATTAGAGAGATACTCAATAAAAATTTGCGTAGAAATAGTATCCCACCTTCCACCGTCATTACCCATCTTGATCAGCTTTAAGCACTCGGTTTAGATGCTGTTGATATCATCAAAGGGCGAAGCCTCAAGTTTTCGATATTGCCGCCTCCGACCACGTGACCACAAGCTCCCGCGGTGGAGGAAGGAAAGCAACATCATAAAACATGCCAGCTTGTCCGATATAAAACTCCAAGTTCATCTTCCAACAGCCCGTCCTGCCGGCTTTTGCAACAGCTATTTTTTATTTGAGTCATATCCCCTTAGGCTGCCGAGTTGCGCTCCAGACGTGGCTCAATGCCATCATCATGAACCGAGGCTCGCTTTTACTCTTGTTTACGGCGGCCGTGGGTCCTACATTATGTGTAGCCGCAGGCGAGAAAGGATCCCGTCCGAGGGGAGTAGGGCCTGAATGTAATATCCACCGCTTATCTCTATGATATCTTTATATTTAAAGGGAATAATATACAAGCAATTGAGCTAACTGAACGTAATTTAGTTGCCAAGTTTTACAAGGACACAGATAGCTTTACATGCATTTCCAACCCCACGATTAAGATACCGTTCTCAGCTGTCAATGACGAATACTGTGATTGTCCAGACGGCAGTGATGAACCCGGTACCTCTGCATGTTCATTCATAACTCCTCTATCACCATCATATGCTTCCAACCCTAGGAGCGATAAGGCAAACAACACATTAGCACTTCCTGGCTTCTACTGCAAGAATAAAGGGCATACCCCTCTATATGTTAGCTTCCAACGAGTGAATGATGGAGTCTGTGACTATGATATTTGCTGTGACGGAAGTGATGAGTGGGCACATGTTGGTGGTCTAAAGTGCGAGGATAGATGCAAGGAGATCGGAAAGCAATGGAAAAAAACCGAAGAGGAGAAAGATAAATCATATTCCGCAGCCTTACGAAAGCGTAAGGAACTTGTGGCCCAAGCATCCAAGACAGAAAAGGATATGCAGGACCGTGTCTTGGTGCTCGAGAAGGAAGCTCAAGGGCTTGAAATTTCGGTCAAGGATCTCGAGGCACAGCTAGAGATAGCCCGAGCAAACAATAGGGGGAAGTCAGCTAGTGGTCAAAAGCAAGGAAAGGCATATGAGTTAGCACAACTCGCAAAGACCAGGACCGAAACTCTCCGAACCGTACTGGCGGAGGTACACAAACAGAGGGACCAAGTAATAACCCTTCTGCGGGAAGCCGAGGGTATACTCTCCAAATTCAAAGAAGAGTATAACCCAAATTTCAATGATGAGGGTGTGAAGCGTGCTGTGCGTAGCTGGGAAGATTACATTGCGCGAAAGGAAGAGGGAGACGGTGACCTCTTCGGAGATGCTGATCTCTTCGATGCACTTAAATCCGAGCATGATGAGCCCTTTAATAACCCGGAACAATGGGCAGAAGAAGCTGAAGTGGGACTAGGTAGGTCCAAGTGTTTAAAGCAAAGACTTTTCTTTTGGAACACGTCTCTAATGAATTGTATCAGTGTACAAGCTAGCGTCTTTCTTACCCGCTGGCATCGTAAACTCCATTGAGGATGGCATTGCTAGCTTCCGATCCGCATTAGTCTCAAACGGTCTTCTGGCGGATAATTCGGTTGATAGCGATTCAAACGAGCCACGAGAAGTTAAAGACGCCAGAGACCGGGTCTTCGATGCACAATCCTCTCTTAACTCGAAAAAGTCTGAGATCACGCAACTTAAAGGCGACCTTGAACAAGACTTTGGTGTTGACTCTGTCTTCCGAGCCCTCAAGGGAGCATGTGTCTCTCGGGATTCGGGAGAGTATACCTACGAACTCTGCTGGATGGAACAAACTAAGCAGAAATCCAAGAAAGGGCGTGGAGATACCACGATGGGAAGATTCGAGAAGATCTCATCCATCGTTGTGGATGAGGTCACGCCGTCTGGACAGATCGTTCAGAAAACAAAGGTTACCCTTTTGTATACTAATGGCCAAACATGCTGGAACGGACCCTCGCGTTCGACGACGGTGATTCTCGAGTGTGGTGAGAACAACGAGCTTACCAAAGTCTCAGAAGATGAAAAGTGTATATATTCCATGTTCGTGACCACCCCCGCGGTCTGTGACTCTCTTGGAAAGAATGGCCAGGAGAGCGGCGGAAAGGATGAGCTATGACCAAGGTGATTGGATGCTTCCGGACTATTTCCATCTTCTATCTGAATAGAACCTGTTTTCTATCATCGTATGATGAGGGGGCGTTACCACGTTTATTATTGGAAATAAGTCCGCATGCTTTATCCCATTGTGGTAAAGGCCGTCTCATGGTATTAACTATACTTGGAATAGCCAGCTGCATTGCTTAAATCAACCGACAACGATGCAAGAAAGAGTGAGGAAGCGCGAATATTGCAGGCCTGCAAATGATGACTTTATTGTTCTATGGCTGTAACTAGTACGTTTGGGGTTGCCAAACTAAGCCACTGTAAAAACATAAAAAAAGAGTGTGCAGTTATATATTGACTGGCTGCCTTCAGAGATAGCAGAAGAAGAATAAAAAAGACAAGATTGTTCCTCAGAAAGGTCGTTAATCCATCCCCATCGTCTCCTATACCTTGCTCATCAATCGTATCGGCAGGGTAAGCAAGATGCGGTTCGTCATTGCAATTCGGTCTGCAACATGTAGGAGAGGGTATTGAAGGGGCAGGTGAGCAGTCATGAGTTATTTAGTGCTATAATATATCAATCAGCATTTTAGAATTCCCTTTCATGAATTATACACAAAACTCTCTATGAGCTCTGGTATATATGAGAGGTAACACTCACGGTGCAGTTGGTGCAGGAGCAGCTGGAGCACTCTCCGGGGCAGCAGGAGCAAGAGCATGGAGCCATTTTGATTGATTGGGGGTGGTTGACAAGGTTGTCTGAAGTTCGTTGAGTTGGGAAGATTGTAGAGATTGCTTTGGATTCTTGAGTCTGGTTTGAAGGAAAGGAAAATAAAAGACGAAGAATACAGGGCGAGGAGCTGCCTTTTATGCTTGAAAGCGCTACGGCATTTTGATATCTCCTCCAGCCCCTCTTTCGAAAATGATATCCCGGACAGGAGGAGGAGGAGAGTGTGTGGGGATGAAGAGAGTCGAATCAGAGTGACGGATGCATGTCCGAAGCCATATTCGTTCCTTGAGATACGACTGGATAGAGAGCCACTCGGGGGGGGGGCCCTTTCAGCGGAACTGTTAGTGCCACGAGATGCCATAGAGCAAGGGTGTATCATATAATAAGAAAGCAGGCAAAAAAGAAAAATTATGCATGCCATTCCAAAGCATACATAGCATTGCATTAGGAAATAAACTCGAGACAAGCTGCCCCATTCCCCTTATCCTGTACGCCTTGGATTGTGTGCATACTGTATGTATCCACCGGATATCTCCAGGAGCAGCAACCTCCTCCCTCTCAAGGGAGGGAGATAGGGCATGTAACGAACTTCAGCCTGGCACATCTGCACAATGACATCGATGGAGCGGTCGTTTGCCAACCCTTGCCATGTGGATCTTGCTGAGATAGCGCGCGATCCATCCTAGGAAGAAGAGAACTGTCATGTACATATCTCAGACCAGCCTCTGAGGCTATGGGAAGTAAGTACCTGTTCGGGATGGAGTCAGTCACAAGGAGAGGATGAGCGAAAAAAAAAAGCAATGAGCAGGAGATAACCAAGAAGAAAACGAACGACTATGGAGTTCACACCAGAGGAAAAGAAATGTTAACGACGTTTTCATCGTGTGACTGCATATTATTTGCTGTATATGGGCGTTTGAAGGAGACATTCGGTGGTCTTCCTCGACCTCTTCCGATGGGCTATCAATACATGTAACAGCCCTGGCAAGAGTGCGCTGGGTGTAAGGACACTGCAGCTTATTGGCTTGGAGACCACCCTCCTGGCTCCGGAGACAAGCCTACACGACATATTATGTATAATGCATCTTCGTATGCTGGGTGGCAGTGGTCAAGTTAACTCTGAGAGAGAACGAGAAAGGCGGCGCTAGTTGAGGCGGGAAGTTAACTGCTGAGGATGCGATGCCAGTTAGTTCTGAAAGCCGGAAGATAAAATATCTTATACGGGGTTTGGCTGACTTGTTTATTAGGACTCTACTATGTATGGCAGGTCATATTAATTACTTTCTTTTTTCCCACCAGCTTCTTCACGCTATCTTGGTCTAAAAAGCTGGGGAGAAGCAGTGCAGGCTCCGTACGAGACTGCCATCGAAGCCAGGACGGCACGGAATACTTTCCCGTCTACATTGAATCCCGAGGAGAAGGAGAAAGGAGTTATTTTCTTGAGAGAAACAGTTATATTATTGCATCTTTCTTAAGCGAAACAACGTTATCCTATCAATATGTATCTGCCTTCCGCTGCCATCCTGGTGTGGAAAGTAAGTCCAGGCAACAGGAATCCTGATTGACGAAGGGTCTCGTTGGTCGATGGGAAGCCTTGTTTCAAGCTCTCCGGGTGACCAGAGGCCCAAAGGAAGAGAGTCCCATCTAGTTTCGAAATCGAAGAAAGTCCTGTTTACTTCTTCTAAGGTGGAGCAGTGATGTCAGTTCCCCAAGCCCCAGTGAGTGAGGCGACGGCAAGGCAGGAGACTTACGCATTCACACTTGCCAGCGGGACAAGTGCAGGCAGAGCCACAGCTGCATCCACAGTCGGCTAGTTATGATGAGTCTCATAAGCGATCTCGTCCATCAGCAAGGAGGACTGTTTCTAGCCACTCACCCATCTTGAATAGATATAGGTAGGTAGATAAACGAGGTATTATCTGGTTATTTCTTTTTTTTGGAAGGGCGTATTTATCGTAGGCTGGATTGTTGTCGTATGAAGAGGAAGAAGGAAGAAGAAAAACAGGCGATGGCTGGTCGTTCAAGTATTAATATTTATACTGCTGAAACGAAGCGAAGGACGATGTGCGAGGGGCCGTTAGCGGGGTAAGTCACTCGACATCGCCTCCCATAGAAATCCCTGCCTGGAGTCATGTTTGAGGTACAAGGAGTAGCATCGGGCGTAGCCAAGCCGGGGCCTATGACGACGAAGAGTCTTGACCTTTGTCTTGTTTGTTCGCTGCGGGATTATTGCAGTATTGCAGCCGGAAAGGTAACGGGGAGTCGAGTTCATCGTCCCGGGAGTAGGCAGCCTATCCAAGGCGTTCATTCCATCCAGCCCATGTCGTATATATATATATATATATATCCATGGAAACTAATATATGCATAAAGCATGCAGAGCCTTTATGCAAAAAGCGCTCAGTGCAGCCGAGGGAAGGGTGACATGACTGTGACATGGTCCTCTCGCTGCTGAGTGGATTTCGGCTCTTTTTCCTCATGCCATGGCCCATGTAGGCCAAGCATTGGAATTTCATCGCTAGTCAATGGCTGGGCTGCGCAGATGGAAAAATGTGAAGCTTCTGTCTTGGGGCAGCATGAGGTTGCTCAGCATAGAGCTGCATCCTTGAAAAAAAGACCTGGATGGCATTCAGCAAAACACTTTTCAGTCATATGAAATATCAAAGCCAGACTGGCCTGTGTTCTGTTTCATGTCTGATATCTCCTCCTGTCTCCAGTCAGATGCCCTGTCTTCTGTTTGTATCCTGTCTGTATGTAGTCCGAACTGCAAGGCCAGATCGGGTTCACCGGCCGTGTAGGGAGTGATATGCTACTCCTCCTCGAGTACTCTGTAGATACTAAATCAGCTTCATTAGCCTTTACGTCTCTCGAGTCAAGTTGGAACAAACGTCGCCTCTCTTATGCAAGGAGCTTAGCCTGCTGCAAGCTGCCTCGCCTTGCAGCCGACACAATGACCACACTCGAACGGCAGAAGAGAGACTCGATCATTCACTGTCACCGAAACATAGCCACCCTTTATTCACTGTGCCGGGCTCTTGTATATTCACTGTCATCGAATATAAAATATCAAACTTGTCTGGATATAAATAAGAAAAAGTCGAACCTTGGGCGCAACTGCCGCAACTTACCGCCTTTGGATGTGTGCCAAAATTTTCCCTTGGAAAAAACATCGAATAAAACATCGAATATAAAAAAAAAACATCTTTCTAGTCGAACACGCGAGTTTGAAGACACGATCCAGCCGAGTCTGACGCGGTTCAGGTCGAGTAAGCACTCGCCTCAAGCATGCCACAGCCCTACGTCTTCCGTGGGAACGATGGCCATGGACGCCGTGACCGTGACAGGCGCGATGGCCGGCATCGCGGCGGACGTCCTCACCACGAATTTACATTCAGGGCGCAGCCCTCGTCGCGGCCGCTGTTAATGGCAAAGAGGGAGACCACACCTGATTTTATGGGTGGCCCGGACAATGATGCGCCCACAAAGAAATTCATGGCGCCGGAGGACGTTACTGACAGCGACGAAGCTGAGATGGATGTATCGTCCGCTGATGAGCATAATAATAACGATGAAAGCGAGCAGCCACCACGGAAGAAACGAGCCATTGAACCCGAGCCTGAAGCCGCACCACCTGCGCCGAAGTGGTCCAACCCCGATCCTTACACTGTTCTGCCGCCAGAGGAGGAACGACAAGGGAAACGGAGAGACTTTGTTAAGCTGATTCGCAAGGCCAGAATTGCGCCTACAGCAACAGTAACCTCGACTACAGAGGCTGGCAATCCTGTCGTTACGAATGATGACTTCATATCCTTGGGCTTGGATGAGCCGGAGATGAACCTGCCACCCGAAGATGGCCCCAACGGGCCCAGACCGGACGAGCTTGAGCGGAGTGATTCGGCACTGGGAAGTCGTAAAAGAAATCGAGATGATGAAATAACAGGTCCTGTAAAACGGGGAAAGAAGGGACCGAAATTCTTCAATGAGGACGGGTCGCCGCTTGGTATCTGGAGACCCCTTGACGGGCAGGACCCAACTCCTTGGTTTAATAGAGATTCACCAGCGCTCCATATAGGGGCTATGTGAGTACTCAGTGGCTATATATCATTATTCATATGATGCTAATGCAGATTTAGGCTGCACAAGGAAATTTTAGATTTCTATCACTGGGTAAAACCTACAGAGTATGAAGATATTGTTAGACGTGACCTTATATCTAGGCTTCAATCCTGCTTTGGGCAAAGGTTCTATGGTTCGAAACTATATGCCTTTGGTTCGTTTGCATCAGGTCTGTACCTTCCTACGGCAGATATGGACCTTGTGCTGCTCTCCCGCCAGTTCATCACCTCAAACAGGAAAACTATTTGCCAGAAAGTCCGGGATATATACAGCTTTGCTGGGTATCTCCGTGGGCTTGGAATCGCAGCTCCTGGGTCAATTGAAACTATTGCGCATGCGCGTGTCCCCATCATCAAGTTCGTGGATGGCCTCACCGGCCTAAAAGTTGATCTATCGTTCGACAACAATAGTGGTTTGGCAGCCATCGATACATTCAAAGCCTGGAAGGAAGAATATCCAGCTATGCCTGTCATAGCCTCTATTATCAAGCATTTCCTTTTGATTCGAGGGCTCAACGACGTTGCTACTGGTGGGTTGGGCGGGTTTTCAATCATATGTTTGGTTACAAGCATACTTCAACATTTACCTCGTGGTGTTGGAGAGCCCAACCTTGGCTCTGTCCTGATGGACTTTTTTGATTTGTATGGCTCCAGGTTCGATGCGGGCGCAGTGGGCATACAGTTTGACCCACCTGGTTATTTCTATAAGGTATGTCATCCTTGAATGATTCTGGTAATCAGCAGCAATATTAACATCTTATCAAGACCGTACGTGGCATCTATAACGCAAGCAAAGGGACTAGGCTTTCAATAATTGATCCCAACAACCCGGACAATGACATCTCAGGCGGAACCAAAGAGATTCCTCGTATCTTCGGAGCGTTCGCTGATGCATATCAATCGATAAAGGATGGCCTCTATGCGGCCTCATGTCGCTCGCAACTCTCCCCAAGCAGCCTGCTTGGGTCAATAATAGCCGGAAACTATGAAGCATACAGGGAACAGAGAAAGCACTTGCGTGATTTTTTCCTAAATGACCGTAGGTTTGCCGACTATCATGGCAGTGTCGCGCTGGACAGTCCGCCGCCGCCGCCTCCTCTAGAGTCCTCTCTTACTCCTCCGCCTCCCCCACCAAATGTTTGATAAGGCATTCATTTGCATATACCGACGAAGAGAACGTCAAGCGAGCGTCCCTCTCATCTTTGACAACAGAAGTACAGCCTTTCCCTAGGACAATGTATTTTTAGCCTTCTAGGCTGCCTTGCTAGGGTTCGCAGGAATGAGCCTAATCGCCCATCCCGCATTATTTTTTTTTCTTGCGAGAGAAGATCCGCCGAAGCTACATATACATACATTATCAATCGGCGTCATGCCGCCTATGAACCGGGCCAAGAGCATACTTTAATCCTTACACTGCCATCCTCTGTCAGTTGATATCTTATTCCGATGTATTTTTATTCCTTTTTGCTAAGCCTTCCGGGGTGGAGGATGGCATTATGGCGATTGGTTCTAATGGCTCTCTAGATTATGTATGATATGATTAAACGAATATATTTCTACCACTGCAGAGGTGGGAAGGCGCTCATCAATATCCAATGATAAAATGCTCAGTATGGTTGAACAGCCATCCGTAGATCAACGATGAGGGACATATGTTTAATCAGAGTTCCGCACGAGGGTTTCATTCCTCGACCGGTGGCGGGTGTTCAGGTATCGGCGTGTTCACGAAGTCAGCGTCTGGGCTTGCCCATTCAAAATCCACCCACTTGGCTCCGAGGATATCACGTATGCCCTTCGTTAGGGTTTGAATCCGCTGGCTCTCCGGAGGTTTCTTGTCTTCGTCCAACACAACATGCCCTTCCCTGCACTGCGGATTGATACTCTCGGCCGGCAAGGCATCCAGAATAGTTTTCCAAACATGCATGGTTTCTTCCAGTTCAGCGATATTGCTCACTCCCATAACACTGCCTCCAACTCTACGCGGACAGGTACTGGTACCGGCACCTGCACCGCTCGCCGGGGCAGAAACAGCCGTCGGCAGCCCCGATGCTCCAACGACAGCGCCCTCATGCAGCCAGTTTTCAAGCGCATATCGGATGGCAACTGCCTCGATCTTCTCTCCTTGTTCGTCGGTCCAGAGACTCGCTTTGTGAATTGCCTCACGTAACCCATTGGGAGCTGGATGGAAGTCACCCATGCTGCCGATAGGCACCCCGTTGCGTCTGAGAAGGCCCATTCCCAAAGGTGAGGCATTAAGTACGCAATCTACGCCAGCCGCAGTCAGACGTGTGAGTCCCTTCGTCGCCAAGAGGGTGTTTTGTAGAGTGAAATTCGCGTAGGACATGACGATATCAATCGGTTCCCCTGTCTTCTCCAGTATCATCTCAGACAGGGAACAGAGCACTTCGACTGGGTATCCTGATATTCCGACGTAATGTATAGTTCCTTCTAAGTCTCGTATCTTGCGTAATTCTTGAACAGCAGCCAGCACTTCCTCTGGTGAAACGAACTCGACGTCATGGCAGTAGACGACGTCCAGATATGAAGTTCCTAAACGTGACAGGCTACGCTTAACACTGCGTCGGATCCAGGACGGGGAGTAGTCAAATGTCGATGCTGCTATGCGGCCTACTTTTGTGAGCAGCCGGTAGGTGTTCCGGGGGTAGTTGTCACGGACGAAAGAAGTAGAGAGGGCCTTTCCAAGCAGCTCTTCTGCCGGGCCATAGTAAGGAGAGGTATCAAAGGCGCAGATTCCGGCTGAGAGGGCACGATGGACAAGCTCTGTGGTAGGAAGCTCGTATGGATTGGTATTGTATTGGCTGTTGAAGGTGGCCGTTCCCATGATGAGAGGCGGCAGGTCACTAGAGACCGGGAGAGTTGGCGCTCCCATCTTGACTGATTTGTGATCCGGTGAGGTATTGATATATGTAGGATATATATTTATTTATATAGTCGTATATAGCTAGCTTCTTTATCTGTCGCTTATGTGTTGTGGCGGGGTGGTTATGAAGATGTTGTCGAGACGGAGGTGAAGAGGAAGAAGTCGAATGATTCCATGCCCTTTCCGGGAGAGTATTAATACTTCATCATATAAGACTCTCAACGCTTATTGTAAGGATGGCTGGAAGTGTAGAGAGTGTTTCCTGTTCATATAACATATCAAAATGGCTGATGTGGCGGTTTAAAAAAAATCGTAACTACACGCCGAGGATTATTTAACGTTTGGCCGCGGCATGATATTTAGAAGGCGGCCAATTCGTCCAATATATGATATGAAATAAGTAGGGGGAGGAATGGTATGATATTACTTGATACATATATTAGACAAAGGTCTGCTCTATCTTGCGTACCGGTGCGACGAACGCCTGAGACCAGCCAGGGTAAAAGGGGGCATAATTACATATACTATATTATCAAAAGCAACCGTCCGCTTGTGGAATGTTAGAAAAAAAAGGGGGAGGGCTTCTACTCTCCCTTCAGCCTTATTCCTTCTTATTCTTTTGGGGAATCGGGTTGTTGTTCTCATCAACAAGTCCCTTTTCCCGCATGACTCGCAGCGCATCGTGGAGCGGGTCAAGTTCAGGTCGCGGTGCCCTGTGCGAGTCAAAGTAGCTGTCCGCCCAAGTGAAGTACTGGCCGTAGTTGACGGTGAAGTACAGGTGGTGGAGGGTGTGGTGGGCAGGGCTGTTGATGTATTTTTCGAGCCAGTGGCCTGATATCATGTCACCATCGTGGATGAAGATGGTCCAAATCTGTACGAGGATGAACATGGTCATGTAGAGGTACTTTTGTACCGGGCAGACGAAGACAAAGACGCTAGAGAAAAAGAGTCAGAACGGTAAGAGTCGGGTGAGATTGATAACGGCGCGAGGGAGTTCTCACTGATACGGTAGGGACTGAACGTATCCGTCAAGGGGGTGGAAAGCGAGAGCCGCCCATGGAGTTGGCACTAGATCAGCGTTAGTCAATCTGTATCCAACACTTTTCATATTTAGCGCCATGGAGTGACTCGTACTAATCCATTTGTGATGGGGCTTATGAACATATTTGTAGATGCTGGGATGATGCTCTAATCTGTGAATCCAGTAGATAAGGAAGTCATTCCAGATCATGAATAGCACAACCGAGAACCCCAACCACGCCCAGCCGTAGTCATCCACTCTGGTATACAAGAGGCTCTTGCCACGCACTTCGGCCAGGAAAAATGGGAGGGTAAAGATGTTGATCCAGGGGATGGCCATCATCGACGAAATTATCTCCTGTCGAACCTGGTTCTTGAGGAAGCGCGGATGGTATTCGAGACGCCGGTCGAAGATGAAGTAGTATGAAAAGGAGCTGAAGACCCAGTAGAGAAGTGAAGCACCGAGCTGTGTGATCACCAGGATCGAGATACATTGCCGCAGAATGCTGTCTCGCGGCCATGCTGATACCGGCTGTGACGAGGCGCTGCCATCGGAGACTGCAGGGACGAAGTAGGCGTACGCTCTATCGAGGATCAAGGGATCTAGAAGCTCAATGGCTACGTCCATCTTGAGTCGGCGTGAATTCGGTTATGGACGTCGATGAATGGCAACTCCCCAGAGAAACCTGGATTAAATGTATTTGGTCGTATTATTCTAAGGGGGTCAAGATTTTTTATGCTGAAAACAATCTAAACTCGAAGGATGCGAAAGGATGGCGCTCGTTTTCTGCTCTAAACAGCATCCCAAAGCCCCTGAGATGTGTATATACAGGGCAATTATTCACTGATGAAAAAAAAAGTCGAATGCGCTTTGGCGACTTTTTATAAAATTGTGGCTGTTAGGTCGGTAGTTCAATGCGCCGGATCATACCACTTTTGGCGGGTTAGCTGCTTTTCCCGTATCCCCTCCCATCCTTCTTTAATGCCACGGCGCGGAGATACCGAGTAGGAGTAAGAGAATAATGTCCGTATATCGAGGAGAGCCGTCAGAGAGAAAGCGATTGATGGTAGCTGATAATGGCTCCGTTAAGCAGTTCATGAGGTTTTCTCCTGCGGCCAATCGTAGTGCTCTGGCATGCCCATATCAACCTCGCATCACAACCACCACCCGGAGTCGTCTACTTGGTCCCTTGCAAGCTATCGATGCTTCTTAACATCTCTTGACGTCTCTTGGTTTTTATATCTTTTTTTATTATTAAAAATAGAAAAAAAAAAAAAGGCGGCGTTACATGGCAGAACAGCGCTGCTTACATAATATATCGAGAAGTTCGAAAAGTTGAAGCAACGAAAAAAGAACGAAAAAAAAAACCATCACAAGCTGCGATTTCTTCAACCAAGACCAGCTCTTGCGCGCCGGAAGACTTATATACTCGTTAGCCACGGCCGAGTACGGACTGTGTTATGACATGAGACTGCCTGTCCTCTAATTCTTCGCGACTCCCGGCTCTCGATCGCCTGATAGAGAGAGACGACGACCATTGCATCCAAACCAAAGGAGTTTTAAAAACCAACTATAACTATATAGCAGACGAAAGGATGTCGCGGTCTGCGTCTGATGCAACCCGGTTTACTGCTACCGGACCGTACGCCTACTCGAAATCGTCCATGTCTTCTCCCCCTTCGTCGAAATGGTCCGGCCTAAAGGTCAGGTCCTCGCAGCCGTCACAATCTTCCGGCCAGGGGGCGCAGGAGACCCCGAGAGAAAAAGTCGAACGGCTACGTGCCCAGGCTCGCGCCAATCGCATTGCAAAGTCGTTTTCCCCAATGGATCGGATAGTAAACAGTGGCAGGACGTGGGCGGATCGCTTTCACAGGGCGGCGGTTTTCTCGCTCATAGCTGCTTCCGGTATGGATATTATGCGAATTGCTTTGCCTATGTAGCAACTTGGTGGGCTGACATTGAATCTTTTTTTTTTCCCCTTGTAGGAATTGCTGGAGTCCTTACTGTTTATTCGATGACGTCGTTAATCATGCACAATCGGCGGCAGCGAGATCTATTTATCGAGAAGGAACTGGAGACTCTCCTAGAGGCTAGAAAAGCATATGTCGCCGGAACTGCTACGGAACAGCAGATCGAGCTGCTACGGAAGGAGAAGGCCGCGGATGAAGAGAAGCGGGCACGAGATGAATTGAAGAAGCAGACCATGTTTTATAAGGCCCGGAGCTGGCTCTTCGACGGCCCGGGAGCCGTGAAAGCCACTAGTTCAGACGCCGAATCCCCAGCTCAGTCGTCAGAGATACCCGATTTAAACGCTGCCCAGGCCGCGGTACCGGCCGCTCTACCGGCGGACTCTCACCCAGCCGGTGAGAGCCAGGGGAGCGAAACTGCCAACTCTAAAGCTTCGAGCTCGAGTTGGTCTAGTTGGACGAGCTGGGGGAGTACCGGTAAATAAGACGTCTTCTTTGGGAGGGAGGTTTTCCCTTGTTGACTCTTTCTATCCCGAAAACCTTGCGGCTCCCAGAATATATCTTACTATTCTTCTGTGTATAATAACGAACATCTACTTTTGTCTTTGCCTGCCTGGGTCGGGTGGGCAACGGCACCACCAATGTTGCTGTACGCTGTGCTAGACTGAAATATTAATATTCTCTTCTTAGTCTTCCCATCTGCTTACAACTGGTAATATCAGCCGTCTATCCGGTCAACGACGTTCACTGCTGGAAGATATATGTATCCCCATCGATATAAGAAGACTACTTGACGTGGCAAGCTCGCCGTGATGTGTATGCTCTGTATAGCTGTGCCGTGTCTGCATCGTATGGATCAAACTAGCACCTGTCGGCCCGACCCGATGAGAGCTAACGAGCTACCAAACATCAGCCTGCCCTGTCGGCCGCCGCCCATCTCTAGTTGATAGTGATAGTGATAGTGACAGCGACAACCAACAGCTTTTGGTGTGTATCAGACTCCTGCATGCGCCCGTCCCGACGCCGTGGAAAAGGGCCAGAAGGGCGACCCGAGGCTGCGGGCAAGGGAAACGCTTAATAATTGGCCTCCGCAGGGTCGAAGAAGAAGCCTGAAGAGCGTCCAGTGGCTGCTTCGACACTCGAGACTGCGCTTTTTCCATGCGCTCGTCTGGCCCCCCCTTGCAAAGACGGCTTGGATGCTGGCTCTGTGGGCGACGAACTCGCATGAAATAGCTGCCGGCGCCGTTTCTCGTCTCTTTTGGTTTTCTTTTTGCGTTTGCGTGCTGAGATGGTTCGTATATCAGGCCGTTGTGTGTCAAGATATTATAACGTCGCCAGCGTCGTCTTTTTTTTTACTCTCTCTCTTTTAACTACTGCGTATAATCTTCTTGGCTTTTTTTCTTCTTTCTCTTCCTAGGCGAAGCTTCATCTCTTATTTTAGGCTTGGGATGGCGGCGGACGATCGACCGGATGGCTGCGCGCAGTCAACCATCGAGCCAGACGACGGCTACAACGCAGAACTAGCCTCTACGATCGCCACTGACTTTGCCTCAGTCGCATCTACGATCCCTAACTACGTGTACGAGAACGGGCGGCGGTATCATGGATACTGTGTAGACCAATATGTGCGTTCCTCTCCGCCATTCTCACGCTGGGACAGGAATCCGTCTCTTCTCTTTCTATCGAATAATCATACCTGACGGGATGGCTGCTGACCGGTCATCATATGTTGGGAAGCCAGTTCCTCCCGAACGATGAACGGGAACAGGAGCGCCTTGACTTTCTACACCATATCTTTCGCCTGACGCTCGACGGGGAGCTGTGCTATACCAAGCTCGATAACCCTGAGCGTGTACTTGACATCGGTACCGGGACAGGGATATGGGCCATCGAAAGCAAGTCATCTCCGTAGCCCGGGCGAGTAGGGAACCTCTCAAGTCTAATCCTCCATCAGTGGCCGAGTTATACCCTTCAGCTCAAATTATTGGGACTGACATATCCCCTATTCAACCCAGCTGGTGAGACGATGGCCCTCTTGGTCTTGTTCCTTATTCTTTTCTCTTAGATAACGGCTCTAACCGCTGCTGGAGGCGTCCTCATAATGTTGAATTCATGGTCGATGATGTTACCCAGGAATGGACGTTTCCTGAATCTTCATTTGATTTCATCCATATCCGCACGCTCGGGGGCAGTGTCTCAGATTGGCCGCACCTAATGACACAGTGCTATAAGTATGAAGAGGACCACATCTACATACCAAGGCGTAGTGCTAATTCAGCCTCTTTGCAGACGACTAAAGCCGGGTGCTCGGATAGAGATATCAGAAGCTCGTGCACACTTTTGCTGTGACGACGAAACATTCCCGGAAGACTCAAAGACGAAGCATTGGCTTGTACGCCTCCCCAGCCCCGAAACATGTCATGCTTCATTCTTATCCTCTAAATGTTGAGAGTATATAGAACGAGTTCGGCCGAATCTCACGTGAATGTGGGCGTGAATTCGATGTGTTCCCCAGCTTTGCCGGCTGGATGCGAGACGCGGGATTTATAGGAGTCGAAGAGATGGAGAAAGTCGTGCCGTTGGGGACCTGGCCAAAGGACAAGAAGCTGAAGGCGAGAGGCCGCTATTTCATGGCACAGTTCCTAGGACATGCGATGGAATCCTATAGCACATCGCTATTTACTCGCTTTGGCGGCTGGAGTGCCGACGACCTCTGGAAACTGCTAACTAATGTAACGGAAGAAATCAGGTCTAACAAGATGCATATATACACCCATTTGTACGTTCTACTCCTCCCGTATTCCTTCCACGTCTTCTCTTGTGTGTCATGGAGCATCCGTTATGTTAACTCACCTTCGATTTAGTTCATTTGCCATTGCAAAGAAACCAGAACGAGTCTGAATTTTGTCTTGCATTCGGAGTTTCGGTTGGGTTGGGTCGAATATGGCGTCTCCGGTCTTCTGCCTATATTTCTATACTTCTATGATGTAACTCTACCCACACCCACGAAGCGTTTCCTTTTATCAATAACTAGTTAATGGGACTTGTCTTGGTGTATATTCAAAAAGAGCATCCATCAACTATCGCCGTTACCAGCTTCCGTCCTAGGCCTTAAGAGGCCGTCATATAGCATACGACTCCCTTGTATCTACCCATTCGTAGGCTAAATACATGCCTCTCCCCACGTATAACAACGATTCTATCGAACTCTTGCCGCGACCTCGTCCAGGGAGTCAACGATCATATCTGGGTCCATTTTCCTGCAGGCGTCCTGGTCTCCGAATCCATACCGGCACCAGCATGCGCGGCCACCGATGTTCCTCGCAAACTGGATGTCCGCCACCGTATCCCCAACGACCAGGACCCGGCCGGCGTCTATATCGACGTCGGTAAACCCATACCGGGCCTTGAGCGTGGGTATCAGTATATCGGTGAAATTAGTAGGGTCCGGCTTCTTCTTTGCTCCGGGCGTACTGTCCCCTACGATCAGGTCGTCGTCCACGTATCCGCCCATGCCATTGCGTTCCAGCGCGGTCTTGACGGCACCAACGCCCTTATTGCTCACGATAGCGATGGGGATACCGGCCTCCCTCAGGGTTTCCAACACCTGCCTGGCCCCCGGGAAGGCTCTGACGAGTAGCTGGCCGTGAGAAGCGTATACTTCGCGATACTTTGCAGTCCACTCATCCGCTGCGGCCGAGTAGGCTTCGATACTGGGGTGCAGAGACCGGAATGTATCTGATAGGCCTGTTCCGCTGGATATCAACGAGTGGATGTCCGACTGAGGCGGGACATGATCCGGAAGCAGAGCGTTGAAGGTAAGTTTGATGGATTGTTCAATCGACTCGTGGGTGTCGAACAGCGTCCCATCGAAGTCGAAGATGACCAGGCTTGTCATGCTGAGCGGGCTGTGTTAGTTATACAGCTATCCGCTTATGCCCTTTCGCCTCTTTTTGCGTGATCAACAGGCTTGATGCTGGTTCTTGTTGCCGTTTAGCGGGTTTACGTGGTGGAACTCATACGGCGAACGTTGAGGAGAGAGAAGAAAGAAAAATTTCGGAGTTTTGCAAGTAAAGCCCTTGATCCCTGGCCCTGGTCGACTGTGTTGGTCGTCATCATCAGCGTCAAGATGTTATGTCCTTTTGAGACAGCCAGAGGCCGGAGTTATCGTCTTCAAACACACCCTAGGGAACAATCTCAAGAGTCGATTTATAGGGGTGATACATGATAGATGCACAGATGGCGCGGTTCTGCCTCTATTACATGCCTATGGGAGGATTAAGGGCTGTCTACTGGCTATCACCATGATGGTCGGGTCCATGCAAGTACCGCTGATATCTCTCTCTGGTCGGCTGGATGTATCCTTTCTATGATGGAGACTGACAACCCATAACTAGTAGATTACCGACAAGGCCTCGAAATGCATGCATTATATGTATATACCGCATGGTACTCCGCAAGACTCCACGTCCTGCCAGGAACCCAGAACTCCCCAGAGCGGAGAGGATAGACGGCCATGAAGAACAACTCGGACACGCCGGAGGCTTTGGTCATATTTTTAGACGGACAGGATGCATCGCCCTGGCGTGGGTTTCAAGATCTCCATCGACGTGTGAAGGATGTCAGCCAACGGGGAGCAGGACAGGTTATATATGCAAACATACACCCCTTCGATCGTCGATGGACTTTACCCTGTGTTCGTCGGTTCACTCCGGGGCATAATTCGAGCTTCCTTGGAGGGTATGAAGCGCGATTATCACTTCGTTTGTCTCTCTGCTTCAAAGTCATCGGACTCGCAGATCCAAACGCCCATCACATCAGGCATCTTTTCGTAACTTGTTATCCGAGGCTTAGCGAGTGTAAATCACTGCTGTCAATGCGACATCGACTGGCGGTGCAGCAGCCAACGCGCGTCTCCTGCTTCCATGCTAACAGAGGCCCATCTGTGGATGCCGGACGCTGGGCGACGCCTCTCGCGTAGAACGATCCCTCCCCAGAGAGTCCTTCGTCTGATCACGGTCCGATAAGGGAACAACCAATGCAAGAAACCTGCTGGAGGTGCGGAGCGTCCTGGTCGATCAATCGTCCCGTCTGTCTCACCTCCAGCGAAGCGGCCTCGCCTCCAGGATGGCGCATGGGAGAGGACGCCTTTCTTAGCAAGTATCCGCAGTGCTTTATCTCCCCCTTTCGCGAGTTAATGCTCCAGAAATAAAACGGGGAATTTGCTAGGAGGTGATCAACCACATCTTGAAACACCAGGCGGTCGTGCCTCGCTCGGCTGAAGCCTGGCTCGCAACCCATGTCCATACCATGGATTCCGATATATCAGAAGCTCCGGCATGGACTTGGTCTCTCTCTCTCTCGATGATCAACCAAGAGAAATCAAGTACATGGAGCCATCTCAATAACACATATACCTCTAAAAACCACAAGGGCCCATACTCCCAGGGTACCTCCTTTTTTCCACTAGATGTCAACTACTTTCGTCCCATGGATAGAGCCAACTATATACAGAGTATATACATAGTATATCTCCAGCTGGACTCAAGCTTTGCCCAGCCGGTGTGCTTCTTTAGTCTGCCATGGATGCGAGAAGGTACAAGCTTTTGAAGAGCCCACGAAACAATGCTTGGTTTCAATTGAGATATCCTCTTTACCCGCTGGACCCCCTGGCTGAAATGTGAGGGGATGAGGGGATCAAGCATCAGTCGCAGGATGGAACTCGCATTGGTTATGGCAAAAGATCCCCCCGGTCAGGATATTATATATATCCATACCCAGTCAGCCCCATAATTACCTATTTCCCGTTTCTATACTTTGCTACTGGTTTGAAACGGGACTCCGGTTGGTGGATGGTTGATGCAACCCTTCACTCTGATTGCAACAAGGGTTGAGATGGATATTGTTCCGTGGTGCCGACTGGGGAAATGAAATGTCATATGCCGTCAATGCCATGGATGGAGGGGGATGGTTGTCTCTCATCCGGATGAAGGATATATAAACCTGCTCTTCGTCCTCCAAGATAGGAACAATTTCAGACAGCAAGAGAAACAAACCAATTCTCAGAAAGTCCCAAGGCACCTGGATAACCTCCTTCATTCCCTTCTTGTTCGATTGTTATATACTTTTATTCCACTTGTTTTAATTTCATTTCCAAGCAAACATGCAAGTCCTCGTTGCTCTCGCCGCCCTCAGCTCTCTAGCTGCTCCAGTTGTTGGCTTCTCCATCCCTCGCGGTGTGCCAGTCAGCCAGTCCATGATCGATGTGAAGCTGAGCTCCGCCGGTAACTCCATGGTCAAGGCTACCATCACCAACAATGGTGATCGTGCCTTGAACCTCTTGAAGTTCCATACCATCATGGACTCCAACCCAACCCGCAAGGTCTCCATTGAGAGCCAAGGTACGTTCTGAATATGGCGGTTCGGACAAGACATGTAGCTAACTTTCTCTCCTGCAGACGGAAAGGAGGTCCAGTTCACTGGAATGATGCCCAGATACAAGAACACCGACCTTAAGCCAACCTATTTCATGTCCCTTCCACCAAAGGGCACCGTCGAGCACTCCTTCGACATTGCTGCCACCCACGACCTCTCCCGCGGTGGCCAATTCACCCTCAAGGCCGAGGGCATGGTCCCAATTGCTGAGGAGAACAGCACCAACATCACCGGAGCTGCCCAATACCACTCCAACGAGCTCCACATGACCATCGATGGAGATCAGGCCGCTTCCGTCAAGAGTGCCATTGGAGTCGCAAAGAGGGATGGACCTTTCACCAGAATCGACAAGCGCACCAAGATCGACATGCAATCCTGCGGCAACCGCCAGGAGCTCCAGGCCCTCACTGCTGCCCTCAGCGCCTCCGCTAAGCTCTCCAGCATGTCCGCCCAGGCCGTCGGCCAGAACCAGCAGAAGTACATGGAATACTTCAAGGACCCCAAGTACGCCAAAACCGTCCAGAGCCGTTTCCAGGCTGTAGCCAAGGAGTCTAGCTCTACCAACAACGGCGGCACTACCTACTTCTGCTCCGACGTCATGGGAGGCTGTGAAGAGGGTGTCCTTGCCTACACTCTCCCATCCCGAAACCAGGTCTACAACTGCCCCATCTACTACAGCGAGCTCCCACCCCTCACCAAGGAGTGCCACGCTCAGGACCAGGCTACCACCACCCTCCACGAGCTCACCCACAACCCTGCCGTCCAGGAGCCATTCTGCGAGGACAACGGATACGGATATGAGCGTGCTACTGCCCTTTCTGCTGAGAAGGCTGTCCAGAACGCTGACAGCTACGCTCTCTTCGCCAACGGTAAGCCTTTCCTCTTTTTTTGCTATTCATGAAACCCTGACTGACCATAAATATAGCTGTCTACGTTGGCTGCTAAACGATTCTTTCGTTCCCCTGCATGGAAAGGGGCAAACCTGTACATGGCTTTAATCTTCTTCACTCCATAAGGTGGTGTTATTATGACTGCGGGATTACCAGTCTACTTGCCTTTTGGGACTCTTCGCTTGTATATACATTACATTCTGCATATATTTAGAAACAGTGCAATATCGATTGGATGTTTCACTATATTTATTCCTCTTTCATCGTGAATCATGCTAAATTGGTCAGGTTTATACCTGATATTAATATAGTTCTGGTATTCATCAGCTAAGTCATCTGTATGAGACCCTACATTCTTTCAATAGTGTAAGAAGCAATATTTAAATCATTATTTTGAAACCATGCCACCGCCCTACGCTTTATCAGATACATTTGGGGTTGGCCGTTCCTCATCGGTTGAAAGACAAAACTCTTTACGTGTGTCTTTCTATAGAAATGTAGGTTGTGATGGGAAACCGATATGCCTATGCAAGTAACGGGAGGCTGCCGTTAGATTCCGTGCAGCAACAAGCGAATGGGGCTCACAGCTTTGAGCGGCCCTCTGTCAATTTTGATCAGCCTCTGCTTTGAGACATAGGTTATTTTTCATATTTGATAGTTGTCTCGTTTTTATCGCAAGGGCACAATTCCTGTCCTGTACTTTTCCGAGTAATCTCCTCGACCTGCATCCATCTTTGAGCTATACACTCAGTTTTTGTACACAGCGCCAAGTTGTGCAGTTGAGCACATACATAGTACATACATACCATATAGTAGTAGTTGTTTCAGTCATTCATCTATACGCCTTGTAACTATACTATTGCTGCCAATTTGTCTTTGAAATATAAAAAAATAGTCGTAGTACCACGTAACTAAAGTATGTAAACCAAATACTAACGACTCAGCAATTAGTAAACATTGAATGATGATTCCCCATCCGCATACGAGTTCAGCCAAAAGACTTAGGCAGAACAATATTTTTTCCATCCTGCTTCTCCAAAGTCTCGGCTAATGTATGTAGTAGCTTTGTTAGATCGGTGATTTTTCTTAAGTTCGATGATCGATTCCCCATTCGCACGCCTGTTGTCTTGACGGAAGTCGTTGTGTCTACTAGAGCAGTAAACAGCCGAGAAATTTCTTGCACTGCGATAACTGAGAATTAGTTATTGAAAATAATCAAAATTGTCTAGTTAGAGTCCTTACAAGACGCTGTTTCACCAGTTTCTGTTTCCTCTTGCCACCCTTCTACTAGACATTCCTCCGCTGGACATTCTTCTGCTGGATATTCTGCTGCTGGATATTCTGCTGCTGGATATTCTGCTGCTAGGCATTCTTCTGCTGGGTACTCCTCAACTGGACATTCTTCTACCGGACATTCCTCCACTACGTAATCCTCTGATGGGTATTCCTCCGCATTCTGCTGTTGGGCATTCTTCCGCTGGACATTCTGCTGCTAGGCATTCTGCTGCTGGACATTCTTCTGCTGGACATTCTTCTGCTGGACATTCTTCTGCTGGACATTCTTCTGCTGGACATTCTTCTGCTGGACATTCTTCTGCTGGACATTCTTCTGCTGGACATTCTTCTGCTGGACCTGGACATTCTGCTGTTGGGCATTCTTCCGCTGGACATTCTTCTGCTGGACATTCTTCTGCTGGACATTCTTCTGCTGGACCTGGACATTCTGCTGTTGGGCATTCTTCCGCTGGACATTCTGCTGCTAGGCATTCTGCTGCTGGACATTCTTCTGCTGGGTACTCCTCAACTGGATATTCTTCTACCGGACATTCCTCTGCTAGGTGTCCTTCTGTTGGGCATTCTTCAGCTGGAAATTCCACTGCTGGATGTTCATTCACCGAATTTTCTTCTTCTGGTTCCTCGTAACCACTCTTAGCCTCCTTTCCCGTATTGAAAACCGAGGCAATTGATTCTTCCAGCAAGGATCCAACAAGGTATTTATTCTCTTCATCTTCGTTAAGCATGGTAGCCACAGCATCCTTTTCTCTTTTTTTCAGTTCCTCGCGCTGCTTTTGGATATCGTCAAGTTTTTCCTGCAGCTGCATCTCCAGGAAATTTTTGTTTAGTTCCTGCGACTTGATCATCCTTTTTAGATTAACATCTAGCTCGCTTAGCTGAGATTGCCGGTGGGAATCGCGTAGCATGGAAACAAAAGCTACAGAGCTGTTGATGAGGTCCTCGAGACGTTTAGCACTAATTAATAGGCGATGGACGGCAGAATGGCGAAGTTGAACGACCGATTCGACGATTTCGAAGATATTAGCTTTGTGCCCATCATGCAGAGCATCCGCTGGTAGTTTACTGATACGTTTCATAAAAACTCGAACCCATTTATTCAGCTCTATAGCTTCGGGGCAGTCCCATTTTCTTTTAAGAAGTAAATCAGGCATCCATTTTGAGGTAAACACGTAACAGCATTCCTCAAGCAAGCACTGGGTTTTGGTCAATAGTAGGTGCTGCGACCGGTACGGAATATACGAAGGGTACAAAGAAGGTACCCGTATACCGTTTGTGTCGGGGTGCTGGGCATCTAAAATCCTCATTAGTTTAAACTGTTAAATTTGGTGTTGAAATCTACCGACCATTGCTTAGAGGCTCTTCTTGTACAGAAACGTGGCCATCATCAAGATCAATATCATCTAGCAAGAGTTCCTCCTCGTGGTCATTGTCTCGCACCTCAGTGGTATGATTTTGTATATCCAAAAGTTGCACCAGCCGAAACGCCTTCTGTTCAGACTCAGCTGCCACAACTTCAGATGCCGAGTGCTGCACCTCCTGAGTAGCAGAAGTTAGGAAGAGTGATGGAAAGGCAATTTTTGCCTTTGATTCCGACGAAAAGATGCCACGATCTAGAAGGCTCTTTAAAATCGTAACAATTTTATCCGCTCCGAGGCTTTGAATCACAGACTGCGTAGATTGTTTATAAGATTGCACCAACTGTCTTATCTTCTTTTTCTTCCTGACTTGGGAATTCTGGCCTCCGAAAAGGGCCTTATAAGCAAGAAAGACTCGTTGCTGGTCAGGCACGGGATAAGACATGTTGGTAGGTAAGTTCAGTCTAAAGCAAAGGGCTGTGTATGAGATTGCAAGTTGATGTGGCAGGCGGCCCCTCCAAATATATGTTGGCCCCTGTTAAAAGCTGCCCAATAGATCACTGCCAGCATGGTGTATATATTGTACCACCAAGAATTGGGAAGGCTGCTACCGTTTGCATGCATTGCTACCAGGTATGCGCCTTGGATTGCGGCACAGTCTTGAGGGCAGGCTCATGCTGCATGTTCTATGCATGTAGTATGAGTAGTAAGCATCTGATTGGTCAGCAGAAGAATGGTTATATGGTTGGTTGAAGGAATAACATCCGATTGGAGCCCTGTATTCAATATACTTACTATGCGATACCACCGTAGGTAGGTTATATAGATTAAAAGTGCAAAGTTCACTCCGAGCCTCAAAGAAGGTTGAGCTTCTAGACCTCCTAGTAACAACAATAGCTACCTTCTCAGATGTTTCTGCCGTCTTTCCCCAAGTCTCTATATTTTTGTAAAGTATAAGGCATTCTGCGAGTTTCGTACCAATTGATGGAACTATCTCCTGATAAATAAACCATATTTTCTCATACCAAAGCTGGGGATGAATCCAGATATTCAATTTGACCGTCAGAAGTTTTTGTTGTCTTTGAAAATATATTAGTCACCATATCACATGATACAAAGTAAAACTTGGAGGCGTGATTACCTAATATTTAACCAACTTGCGCTTCTTTTATCAAATTGAAGATCGCGACAACCAAGCAAGACCTACATCAATTACGCGCGAGACAGCTTTAGAATAGCTAAAACACCTTCACTTAGTCGGGGATATCACTATATAAATTACTATTGAGGGCATTTTTGTTCAGTTTTGACCTTCATACCCGTTACGATGAATTCTACAGCCCCTCCTGCTGCGGCAGAGTATGGCGGAGGTAATTTAGAATCTTCCTTGACTTGACTGGGTTTTGGCTACTTATGAGAGACTAACACTTGCAATTGTCAGATGAGGTATCAGCGATAATATTGGATCCGGGATACTCCTCAACGCGTGCTGGGTTTGCCGGTGAAGACACCCCCAAATCGGTTATTCCTTCATACTATGGAAAATACTCTGCAGATGCGCAGGATAAATACGTTTATGGGGACAACATTTATGTCTCTCCGCGCCCAGGGATTTCGATTCATAACCCTATTGGCAGAGATGGCATTGTGGAGGATTGGGATATGGCAGAGAAGCTATGGGAGTACTCGTTTACCTCGCGACTGACGAGCCGAAAACCCGGAAATCCAATGCAAAACGGGCTAAACGATCCCAACCCTGAAGATTTACCTGTAGAGATGGAAGGAGTAGAGACAGAAGAAAAACCCTTGGCTGATAGCCCGCTGCTTATGACCGAGCCTGGATGGAATCCCACCAAGGCGAGAGAGAAGACTATTGAAATTGCGATGGAAAATTGGGGGACACCAGCTTTTTATCTCTCCAGGAATGGACCATTAGCTAGGTCCGTGATTATACTTGTCCAACGCGCTATATGTTATTTTATGTTAGAGCTGACTGATTTATCATAGTTTTGCGGCTGGAAAAGCAACAGCCTTGGTGGTGGACGTTGGCGCCAGCAATGTCTCAGTAACCCCAGTTCACGATGGCCTAGTTCTCAAGAGAGGAGTACAGCACTCTCAACTTGCCGGTGACTTTATCTCATCTCAGATCCGAGCACTTCTCAAATCAAGTACACCACCCGTTAACTTGACACCTCACTACTTAATTTCGTCCAAAGTTGCTGTCGATGCTGGTCAACCTGCTCAAGCAGTGTACAAGGATATACCCGAGAACAAGCTTCCAGGCCCTTCATACCGTCGGTTGATAGAGGATCGAACACTTTCTGAATTTAAAGAGTGCGTAGTCCAGGTCTGGCCTGGTCCTGGCGCCTTGTCCGGCCAAAGTCCTACCGGAGTCTCCAACGAAGAAGTAGCAAAGGGCATTCCGATGCGTCCATTTGAATTCCCCGATGGCTATAACCAACTTTTTGGCCCTGAAAGATATCGTGTTGCTGAAGGCTTATTTGACGCCAAAGCTGCTCTCCCCGACCCAGATTCTGAATTCCCTGCCCCAACTGCCAACCAGACAATACCTGAATTAATCCGAAGCGCTCTCAATCAAGTTGATGTCGACATTAGACCGACTCTACTTGCCAATGTAGTCGTGACGGGAGCTGCCAGCTTGCTGTACGGCTTTAACGACCGGTTGAACTTTGAGCTGACGAACATGTATCCAAGCCCGAGAGTTCGAATATCTGCACCTGGAAACACTGCGGAGAGGAAATTCAGCTCCTGGATAGGTGGAAGCATCGTGGCCAGTCTAGGCACGTTCCATCAGATGTGGATTTCGAAGAAGGAATATGATGAACATGGGCCAAACATTGTAGAAAAGCGATGCAAGTGAACCATTATGTTACCGAAGAGGATGCGCGCAATTTGACGAAAGCAAACTTATTTTCTGAGTGAGCTTGATGCCCATGCTGTATTCTCAATGCAGTGGCTTCTACATGTGATGATTATGAAAAAGTTCTTAGCCGGGAATGCTTAGAATCCCATTCAAACTGGCAATTCCAAGTAAACTCCTATTGTAGGAGCAAAAGTGTATTGGAGGTGGTTAATTCCTAATAAGCCGAAAGTGGTGCTTATAAACTAGTGCCTCTAGGGCAATGTGCTGTTAGATTATGCATACATGAAATCCTTCATAGGTCTGTTCTAACAATATTATACGTATTAAAATAAAGGGAGCATAAAACCAATCTTATCCCCTTTCCACTGCAGCCCCGTACGCCTGCCCCTGGTTGGCATCGATATCAGGGGATCCTTCCAACTCCTTAACAAGCAAATCAGCGTCACGTTTGCCCCTCTCCGCATCGACGAGCATCATCAAGGGCAATGGGATGATGATAAGAAGGGCCAGGAAGAAGAATGCTGGGCGAATTTCTCCGTAACGATCGGTGATAGCACCGACGATAGCAGGGCCGAAGAAGCTTGAGCCTTTATCCGTGATGGCGTAAAGAGCGTAGAAGGAAGCTTCAAACCCATGTGGGATAAGCTCCCCGAAGAAACTACGGCAGTAGGAGGAGAGGCCGCCGATGACGAGCCCGTAGATGGCGCCGAGCGGATACATTTCCCACGGTTGCTGGAGGCCGAGGACCCCCAGCTTCCGGATAGGCGGGAAAAAGCCCAAGAGGCCGTAGAGTGGTATGATCTCAAATATACAGATACAGGCAATGATTGTTTGAGAAGGGCGTAAGCCTAGAAGTCGAGAGACATAGCTCCAATAGAACGCACCGCAGACACCTGAAATCATTGTAATGACATTAATCATGCCTAAGGCAGCCAGCTCCATTTTAAGCTGAGTCTTCGCGAACAAGACTGCCGTGCCGCTGACCGTTGCAATTCCATCAGACAATAGGAACCAAGCAGCCAAGAATAGAACGACGTCCTTTAATCGACGAGCCCGCATAGCTGTCCTGCCAAGAGACTTCCATGCAAATAAGACGTAGTCAACCCAGGGCCAGCTGCTACCCTTGTTTGTTACATGTTCTGGGAGCGGAGGGCCAGGTCTCGGTCGCAGCCATAGGCCTGCAGGAATAGTAAAGACAAACCACCAGAGTCCTATTAGAAATAGAACAAGTTGAAGGGAAAAGGTGGTGGAGTTTGTGGCAAGCACGAGAAGAATGCAGCATATCTGAACGAGAACTGCGGCGGTATATCCGATGCCAATTCCGTTAGACGATATCTTGGATGACAGCTCCAAGGCTGCGGATACCAATGGGGCTGCGGAAGTTCTTTCCGCAGTAGCCTCACGTTCTGGATACGACATATCTCCATTGGTTTCCGGGTTTGAATCAGAGTAGATGGGTGCGTTTTCCTTGTAAGCTCGGATAGAAGGATGGTTGCGGACAAGTAGAGGTAAGAAGGAGTTTAGCAGTACAAAAGATCCGCCAAACCCTGTGTTCGCAACAATGGCTAGAAAGGCGGCTAGCATGTATAGATGCGAAGAAAGTGGGAGAAAGAGCATCATGGCAATTGAGCCTACAATGGCGAAGATGAGCAGGAAGGTCTTGCGGTAGGCGCCATGGTCTGCAGCGGCTGAGATGGATATAATGATGAGTGACTGGATCAGAACACTGGCTGAGAATGTATACATGGCAAAGCTGGCGGTATTGACCTCGAACCCAAGGACGTAAACAAGGCACTGGTTGCTTGGAGGTACCGCCCTAAGCGGCAAAACGGCTCTCGCGGATCCGGCAGTGGCATTGCTGTGCTTCCAGGCTGAGGTGCAGGGCGTAGTCTTATCAGAGACCAGCACTCCCTGGTCTCGGGTCATCTGTTCGAGGGCGAGCGGAAGAAAGGAGCCTGTTCAAGGAACTGTTAGATTCCGCTCCTACCAAGTTGCTCACAGCCAGATAGAGTCGGTAACGTACCCATAGCACACACCACGAAGACCTCAGCGGCCCAGCCATAGCAGTACCAGCCAGCCAGTTCCTTTCTGCTAGTAGGCCGGGTGTCTTCCTGGGGGTGGCCGTCGTCAGCCTGCGGGAGGAGAGGTGCATTACCAGCTCTATCCTCCGACTCGGGTCTAGCCGGGCTCGACATCGCTGCAGAGGTCGGTCTGCTTATTGAGAGACGGCGTACGTGGTTCTAGTTAGCTCACAGTCAGCTGTATAAGATGCATGGTTGATGTATTTAAGGGGGAAAATATCCCAACTCCAGCATTGAAGCTGTCGAAGTTGAAGTGGAGAAGTTGAAGCTGCCTTGAAGCAGCCAACCACGTGAGACCATGTCTTAGTTAAGGCAGTTAAAGCCAGTTAAAGCTGGTTAAAGCTTTAGTTAAAGACAGTTAAAGCGTAGTTAAACGCTCAGTTAAAGATAGTTAAGCTCTAGGTAATGGTTTAGTTAAAGGTTTAGTTAAGCCTAAGGTCTTAAGGAGAAGTGTCTTTGGGTGGTCTTTTAGGTAGCTAACTCAACCCCTTCTCTACCTTCGCTTTTCTCTAAGCCTCCCTTTATTCCCCTTCTCTACTACTTCTTCTCTACTACTTTTATCTGTCTACCAACTTCGTCTTCTCTTCTTCTACATAGAACTATACCCATCACGTGATCGAGGCTCCACAATTAAACTTTTGAAGCTTCAAACTTCGAATATTTTGAATATTTTGAATATTTTTTTTTACGGGAGAAGATTCAGAGAAAGTCGCATTTCCACTCGAGAAATGATATGTTGCAGAGGGTAGACTTGAGATACCCAGGGCCGTTTGCCTATGCACATACTATAGACGGAAATCTATGAGGAAGCGTAGCTAATATCGAGCTTGTCAAGGAAGTTTTGTGGGATAAGCACCTTCAACACAGCGCGAGGGACGAAATCAAAGAAACTGCCAATTGGCCTTGAATTCACAGTCGATATACCGAGATCGTTTATTATCCAGCCCCTGCGCACTACAGATTTCGAAATGCCCTCCCAAAACCATTTGTACGCCACTACAACGGCTCTTCCAACGTCCAACCCGGAAGCGTTTTTAAAGCCCTCGCCTCTTCTATACTCCGACTCAGTGGCTGCAGCAAAAAGTTACCTTGACTCCCTTACACGGGATTTAAGACAAGAACAGCAACGTGGGCAGAAGAGAAAGCAGCGCACCCCGGGCCCCCAGGTTCCGCAGCTCCATGTGAACGGCTTCAGCCACAGTCAGATATGGGAGCAAGCGAAGCGTATATTAGATTCAGCGTTGACTATATCCTCTAGGGACTTGAACAGATTCAATGCGCAAAGTACTGTTCCTTCTAGGTCCGTCAAACGAAAGTCCCCGGATGACAACTCAGACAGTATGAGTGATGCTATAGAGGCAGGAGAAAGTGAGGAGGAAAGTGAAGATGACGGAGGCGAAATGCTAGAACTAGATTCTGAGGAGGAGGAGGAGCAGGAGGAGGAGGAAGCTGATATTGATGAGAACGGCAACAAAGGACCACCCGATGAGGAAGACGAGGATGAGACGATGGAAGGAGACGAGTCTCCACGCCCCAGCAAAAAGAAGAAAACCGACCCCCATGGCCTAAATGATGGCTTTTTCTCATTAGAGGAATTTAACAAACAATCAGCTTTTTTTGAGAATCAGGATGCTAGACGTCCACACACCGAAGCGGCCAGTGATGAAGAGGATATTGACTGGGACGCAGACCCCCTTACACTTCAGGATATACCCGACAAGGAGTCTGCAGATCAAGAGGAAGATGATATGGATGACGATGAGGAGGATCTTGACATGGGAATGGTGGATGCCGACTCTAACGCGGAGGATGACGATATGGAGTTAAGTGGTAATGACGGCCGCCAGGCTCGATATGAGGACTTCTTCGACCCTCCGCCGAATGTTAAGAAAACAAAATCAAAACCTGCGCAGACCCAGGAGGATATAGATGCCGACATCGACCGAGCGATGGCAAATGTACGGAGAGACTTGTTTGATGACGACGACATGAGCGGAGAAGATGACGGTTCCGATGGCGAAAAGTCGAAGAACATGTCTAGCCATGAAAAGAGACGAGCACAGATTGCAGATGAGATCCGTCGGCTGGAAGCTGCCAATGTCGCAAAGAAAGACTGGACATTGATGGGAGAAGCGCAAAGCAATGCAAGACCATTCAACTCGCTCATTGAAGAAGACCTGGACTTTGAACGTGTTGGAAAACCGGTGCCCATAATCACGACGGAGGTCAGCAACGACATCGAATCACTCATCAAACGTAGAATCATCACCAAGGAATTCGACGACATCATCCGTCGTCGGCCGCTGGCTATCGGCGAAGGGGGAGCCGTTAAACGGAGGGTTGAACTAGACGAGACGAAGCCACAGCACAGTTTGGCAGAGCTGTATGAACAGGACCACCTGCGTTCGACTGACCCTGCATTCATCGATAAGGGGGCAGAGAAGCTACGAAAGGAGCACCAGGAGGTTATCCAGCTATGGGAAGAGATCAGTTCCCAGCTAGATACCCTGTCCAACTGGCACTTTAAACCCAAAAAGCCCCAGGTCGACCTTAACGTGGTGTCTAACGTGGATACTATATTCATGGAAGACGCTCAGCCAACTACTCGCGCTGACTCGGGTGCTGCATCCGGAAACATGGCTCCTCACGAGATCTATAATCCCGGAGAAACGAGAACACCTGGTGAGATCAAACTGAAGAGCGGTGCATCGCTAGCCAAAGACGAGCTGAGCAAGGAAGCCAAACTCCGGCACCGCCGACGCCGCGAGGCACTGAAGAAGAGGAAGAGAGAGTCACAAGCGGCTGCTAGCAAGCCTGACTCTGCATCTTCACAGAAGAAACAATTAGTGTCCAGCTTGAAGAAGGGAGGAGTCAAGGTCATCGGGAAGGGCGGTAACTTGACCGATGTTCAGGGGAACAAAGTCCAGGACACCGCACCCAAGGGCCGTGAGAACCTGAAACTGTGATTAACACGTTTTAAAAATGAATTTGCATGTCTCTAGAGGAGTTGGAAAGGATTTGAACTACGCCGGACAAGGGAGGGGAAATGTAGATAAATATAACTGTTTCAATGTTTTGCCATTCTCCGTCTAAGTGTGTACAAGAAGATCCGTTCCTGTTTACAGAATTCACGATCAACTCCGTCAGTCACTTCCGTGAAGTCGAACTTCTTCTTAACCTGTTTGATAAAGCGTAGGTCTGCCTTGCGGCGTTTCTTAAAGCAAAAGTAACACACTGCATCTTCTTCCTCCAGCAGCGCTTCAAGAGTTGATAGCAACAGGGGGAACGCCGGCTCGAAATAGACACAGTCCGCAGCCAGGATGACTTTCGCCTTGGGAAGCGCACGAACAGCTTCTTCGTCTCCCCAGTCGAGTAACGCTGCGTGTACCACGCCCGTCAGGCCATTCAGTTCAATATTCTGCTGCATCAGCGGGAACATCGCCATTTGATCGGTGATATAGACCGGTGAATCGGTGGCACATCCTCTTGCGACGGCGAGTCCTACGAGACCACTTCCACTACCTAGTTCGATTCTAACGACGGTATATGTGAGTTAGTGTGCCGTAGAGGAGCCTTGGGGTATTCAAATCGTCCCTCTCGAGACCATATCAATCGTTCTCGAGGGGTTCAAGTAAGTCAACGAGGGGGGGTTGGGGATTTCGCATAGGTACGCATTTAATAGTACATTGTCTTGCCCAGCAGGTCCGAGGCATGGTTCTCGATCATATATTTCGACAGGACGACTCCGGCAGGCCATATTTGGCCGCCGCAGCCTTCCTTGAGGTCTTCTCTTAGCTGTAGCGGTGGGTTGAGTATGCCGTCAAGAGAGACGGTGCTTGTGCATGCACATTGGATCTCTCTGGGTGGAACGAGAGAATCGCTGACAAGGGGCTGGTCTGGCGACTGCTCGCCGATATCACCCATGTAGCTAGAATAGCTGCTGCTTTTCAGTGAGTCTTGAGGTTGTTGATAGTGATATTCTGTGTTCTGGTGCTCTGGATGATTTTTTTATGTCGACTGTTTTATATCGAAGAAAAAAATCGCCTCTCTGTGCGGAAACTTAAAATCTCATGCCACCAACGGTTATGCCTATAGAATAGCGATGTTAGCTAGGACGATGAATATAGGGGATTTATATGTTGCCCTGGATGCGATTGATACTTGTTCTTAAGATTTGGTGGAAGTTGTTATGCAAAGGTGAGCGCTATTGGTAAGATGAAGATCACGAAGTACTTGTTTCATGGCGATATACGGGATACCAGCATAAACCGAAGAGAAGAGAAGAGCAGCATCAAGGCAGTGATATGCTATTTCCGCCAATGCCTTTAAATGAAATAGTTACAGGTAGAGAGGCTGTGAGCTGTTTCCCAACTATAACCCATGCAACGACCGGTAAAGGCGAAAAAGGGGCATTGTCGACAACATACTTGAGTACTACAAAAAAAAGATGAAAACGATGAGATGCCCATTCTATTGACCTAGCTGCAAGATTCTAGATAAAGGTGCGGCATGGGTATCTAATATAATGAGGTTAGCATGGGAATATCCAGCACAGACTCTTCAGCCGAAAAGAAAACCAAATAAATACTCACTTTGAAGGGTAAGCCTGGTCTGAAAGGAGGGTACATGTCTTTCCGGCATTCAGGTTTCCGGGCAGAGGTGGGAGACCGCTGGGCCCAAGGACGTCAGCTCCGGAGCTGGCCTTCTCCTGGAAATGCGCAGCGAGTCCACGCTCCTCTGCCGTTTGCTGTGTCTGTACCAGCTGCTGCGTGCCTGCCTCGCCGGCAAGAAGACTATCCTTTGGTTCCGCCTTACTACCGTAGGTCAAGAGGCCAACAACATCCGCCTGCTTGACCACGCTGACCTGGGGATAAGCTCTTCGTACGTCTCGCTTCCAGTATGGGTTATCTGCGATATCAGCAGCGGGAATGGTGACGGGGTCATCGTATGTCTGCGGCTCAAGGGCTCCTGGCGCTGGGTTTCGAAACTGGGCGTTCAATGGGACACCGTTAGAGCGAGTGGGATCAACGGCAAAGGCCCGTCGAATTCTCTCCCATATGCCGTAGGATTGCACGGTGTATTTCTATACCCAAGTCAGACTCGTATCGAGAAGAAACAGAGCCATTGGCGTGAATATCTATGTATGTACGGACCTGGTTGACGGGGACGACGTGCGAGGCGGCCGAGGCCGTCTGCAAGATCTTGGACGCTCTCATCTCCTGCATAGTTCAATTAGCCTTGTACCTCGCAACCAAGGACAGCAGACGACGGAATACTCACCGGCAAAAGGCGACGAGGTGAACTTGATGCTCTTCTCTGGCTGTTTTCTCCTTCGTTTGACGTTGAAAAGCCGAAAGAAACGAAGAAGAACAAAAAACGCCAAGATCGAACCAACTTTCGAACATCAAAAAACAACCGCGAAGGGAGAAAGAAAAGTCGACGGCGAGAGGAAGATAATATTGGGATATTTTACTGTATTTTATCTACACGATGGGGTGTTCGGGGCCAATCGCTGGTTAGAGGTCGACTTGACGCTTGCCACTCTGCCTGCGTTTGTATCTCGTCGCCTCAAGACGAAGAAGCGGCTGTGAGAAGTGGATGGAGAGATCAAGCGGCCAGGCGGCTTCACGTAGATAAATATTATATTAGATACAATACATAGAATACTTCCTGGAGTCGAACTCGCGCCTGGACGCGGTAGAAAGAAGAAACGAGCTAGCGACCTTGTCCTTCTAGTTCTCGCGCGCAAGATATTTTGCATCTTTCTTCTTCGCTACACATTTCTTCCCCCCAGTTTTCTAGACTCCCCCTTCCCCTTCCCCCCCTGAAAACACCTAACTGACAATGGCACCAGAGCTGAGAAAACGAAAGGCGCCTGCTCCTGCTCCGGTGGCAGAGCCAAAGGCGAAGAGAGGCACCAAGGCGGGCGCCAAAGCTGAGCCCAAGAAGGAGCCCAAGAAGGCGCCCAAGGAGGAGAAGAAAGCTGCTGAACCCGAGCCTGAAGCCAACGTCGAAGCTGAAAAGGTCGAAGAAGTCGAGGACAATAAACCTGCCAGCCTTGTCCCAGAAGAGGGCGACGTCCTCGACCTCAGCCTGTTCGAAGACGAGATCGAGCTCAACGACGGCACCAAGACCTCGTTCAAGGCTCTGCTGGAAGAGAGCAAAGATGGCGTTGCCGTGTTTACCTATCCCAAGGCATCGACTCCTGGCTGTAAGTGTGCTTTGGTGCTTCTTTCAGAACATGTCTAGCTCTCGTTTTCTGATAGTACTTGTTATAATAACGCGCTGTTTCATACAGGCACCAGACAAGCATGCGCCTTTCGAGACGACTACACCAACCTGACCTCGACTGGACTCTCGATCTTTGGCCTCTCGGGCGACTCTCCCAAGGCCAACACAACCTTTAAGACCAAGCAGAAGCTGCCGTATCCGCTGCTGTGTGATCCATCCTTCAAACTAATCGGCGCCTTTGGCCTCAAGAAGACCCCCAAGGGCACCGTCCGAGGCGTCTTTGCCGTCAACAAGGAGGGAAAGGTGCTTCTGCGCACCCCAGGAGGACCGGAGAAGACGCTGAACCTGGTCCAGGAACTGATCAAGGGGAAGTAGACGGAGAAGGAGAACTGACTGTTTTCTCATCTTTCATGTCTGGAGCGAGTCTGGCTGGTTTTGTTCGGTAAATTAGGATCTCTTTTTGCTCTGTCTTGCTACATAACCCGTACTTCTTTTCGGTTTATCTTCTTCATCATTGCTGTCTTTGTAGTTCCTCCCAGCGGATCTTATTTGATATCTGCCCATATATATAAGGGAAAGGATCCTTAGTCATCCAGCGGGGGGCGGAGCTTTCTTGTTGATAGAAGAAGAAACACGCAACTCGCTTGGTAACAAGAAAAATCCTGGTGCCTACGAAGTCGTATATCTCTGTGGCTGGAGGACAAGAGAGAAGGATACAATACATCTATTTAAACCAGGGCTCGCTCGACCCTTTTTTCTTTCCCCTGCGCAAGACTTTTCCCTCAAGGCTACTTCGTTTTTGCCCCTCCTACTCCTACTATACCAAACAAACAACAACCACTGCCATCAAAGAGAGAAGAGACAGGAGATTACGGGCCGCGATGAATGTTATAAAGCTTCAAAGGTGAGTGGTGGCCGGCTACGACTGATATACGGCATGAAATAACTGACTTGGAGTTGAATAGAAAATACCCGCAGTTCCAGCAGAACGAGATATTCACCCTCCAAGATGCCTTCCATAGGCTAGATGTAGACGACAAGGGCTACCTCGACGAAGCTGAGACTATCAAGGCGACACAGGCTTCGGAGAGGCTGCCATACGACGTTGTTCGCCAGACGCTAAAGGAGGTGGAACTCGACAGCTCTCGACGGGTCGAGTTTGAGGATTACGTTGATGTTAGTTGGCATTGGACCTTCACCCCGGTTTCATAGGGATATATATATGGATATATATACTCGAGCATGATGGGAAATGCTGACTCTATACAGCTGATAGCAAAACTGCGTAGTGGTGGCCAACCCGCCAGTGCGGCTCCCCCAATTAAACCCTCCGCGCATGCTCCTAGCGGCCATGGACACGCCTCAAAGGGAAGCATCAGCGGCAAGATTCACGTCCAGGGCTCTTCCGCGAACGTCACCCATACGATAAACGAAGATGAGAGAACCGAATTCACGAGGCACATCAATGCCGTCCTTGCCGGTGATCCGGACATCGGGCATATGCTGCCATTCCCAACGGACACTTTTGAGATGTTCGATAAATGCAAGGACGGTTTAGTGTTGGCGAAACTCATCAATGACAGTGTCCCGGACACCATCGATGAGCGAGTGTTGAACAGGCCCGGAACACGGATAAAGCAGCTGAACGCCTTCCATATGACTGAGAACAACAACATTGTTATCAACTCAGCAAAGGGTATTGGATGTTCGGTTGTCAACATTGGAAGTGGAGATATCATCGAGGTTAGAGAACACCTTATACTGGGTCTTATCTGGCAGGTCATTCGTCGTGGTTTGCTTGGGAAGATTGATATAAAGCTTCACCCCGAGCTTTACAGATTGCTCGAGGAGGATGAAACCTTGGACGAATTCCTTCGTCTCCCTCCCGAGCAGATTCTGTTGCGCTGGTTCAATTACCATCTCAAGAATGCCAAATGGCACCGAACGTAAGTCCCCTCCCACAAAAAAAAAAAAAAGCTTAACAGGGTCTAACATATAGACAGAGTTTCAAACTTTTCTACCGATGTTAAAGATGGAGAGAACTACACTGTCTTGCTTAACCAGCTCGCCCCGGATATCTGCTCGCGGAAGCCTCTCGAGACCCGTGACTTATTGCAGCGTGCCGAGCAGGTCCTTGATAATGCTGATCTTCTAGAATGCCGGAAGTTCCTGACGCCATCGTCACTCGTTGCTGGGAACCCTAAGCTTAACCTTGCTTTTGTTGCCAACCTGTTCAACACCCATCCTGGTCTGGACCCTATTACAGAGGAAGACAAATTCGAAGTGGAAGACTTTGACGCCGAGGGGGAGCGTGAAGCCCGTGTGTTTACCCTCTGGTTGAACTCCCTCGATGTCCAGCCAGCCGTGAACTCACTCTTCAATGATCTAAGGGATGGAACTATCATCCTCCAGGCATACGACAAGGTCATCCCGAACAGTGTCAACTGGCGTCATGTCAACAAGCCCCCCGCGTCCGGCGGAGAGCTCATGCGGTTTAAAGCAGTGGAGAACACTAATTACGTGATTGAGCTCGGGAAACAGAACCGCTTCTCCCTTGTAGGCATTCAGGGGGCTGACATCACAGACGGACAACGCACCCTCACCCTGGGTCTAGTCTGGCAATTGATGAGAAAGGATATCACAAACACGCTCTCCTCCCTAGCTCAGCGACTGGGTAAGCGTGAAATTACTGATAACGAAATGATTCGATGGGCAAACGACATGTCCCATAAGGGCGGAAAGAGCTCGTCCATCCGAAGTTTCAAGGACCAGTCTATCGCCACTGGTATCTTCCTGCTGGACATCCTTAACGGCATGAAGAGCAGCTATGTCGACTACGATCTCGTGACGCCCGGAAGAACAGACGAGGAGTGCTATGCAAACGCCAAATTGGCCATCAGTATTGCCCGAAAAATGGGCGCCACTATATGGTTGGTGCCAGAGGATATCTGTCAAGTTCGCTCCCGACTGGTCACGACATTCATCGGTAAGCCCATTCATCTAATCCACTTCTTCCTCCTTCCGCTGCTAACCATTCCGCTAGGATCTCTGATGGCCACCTCTGAGAAGATGTAAGGGAGCTATTGCACTATGTAATGTATAGTCAAAGGCGGTGGAGGTGGAGAGCGCTCGTTTGGATCGAATCGCATGGGGGACTTAAAACAAGGGACCGAACTGATTTGTTCTAGCCGTTGCTTGATGAAATACAAAATAACTATTTCCACCAATTATGCCTGTCTGTATCAAGTGTAATTCGGGAAACTCGCAGTAAATGTGTGTATTAAACGGCCTAGCGAGCTCCATAGCATGATCTCTCCGTGGAAGTGGTCTCCATCTGTCAACCTGTCAGCCTTGTCCGGTTGGCCGATGCAAGTATCAGAAGCCTCAGAAGCGACTTTACCGCAACGGAGCTACGCCCGGTAAGCAGGATCGGGAATATTGTCTCTAGGTGTTGGTGGCGCTTAGTGGGGGCGGCTGATCGGAGATTCACCGACGTTCCCCGGTTCTCCGGGCAGGGCGAACGTTGGCTTCACTTCTACTTTCTTCGTCCCTTATATTGTCATACATACCCCAGGCAGAGAAGCTCTTGGAAGCTATCTTACCCCTGATCGTTGACACGAACAGATAGATCAATCTTGTTCTGCTTAACTGTTGTTGTTTGTTTGGGTGCTGGACTGCAGCCATGTCCCAGGTCCAAGGAAATGGAATTCGCATCGCCATTGATGTTAGTATCGATCTTTTGCTGAAAATAATTTGTTTCCTGTATATATTGTATATTCCATGCTAATATCTGTTATAGCGCGGCGGCACGTTCACCGACTGTGTAGGCAATCCGGGGACGGGTAGGATGGAAGATGACGTTGTGATCAAGCTGCTCTCCGAAGATCCATCCAACTACAAGGATGCACCCCTCGAGGGTATCAGAAGGCTCCTATCGAGATTCTTGGGCCAAGAAATCCCTCGAGGTGTTCCCCTAGATACATCTCAGATTGAAAGTATACGAATGGGAACAACTGTTGCTACCAATGCCCTCTTAGAGCGAAAGGGTGAACGTATGGCCCTGGTCGTGACGCAAGGCTTCCGGGATTGTCTTAGAATCGGAAATCAGTCTCGTCCTAAGATCTTCGACCTTGCCATTCGTCGACCGGATGATCTGTTCGAAGAAGTCGTTGAAATTGAAGAGAGAGTTACTCTGGAAGACTATGCTGAAGATCCAACGAGACACGCGACCCCCACCGTAGCTCGTAGCGAAGAGCCAAAAGACGCAGAGATAATTCGAGGCTTGTCCTCTGAGGCCGTACGTATTCTGCAGCGTCCATCTGAAGAGAAGATCAAGCAGCAATTGCAAACTTTGTATGATAAGGGCTTCAGAAGTATCGCTGTATGCTTAATGCATGGATATACATTCCCAGATCATGAAGCTCTTGTTGGAAAAATCGCCAGTGACATCGGCTTCACCCACGTTAGCTTAAGTCACCAGCTTATGCCCATGATCAAACTTGTCCCGAGAGCCACCTCAGCATGTGCTGATGCTTACCTTACTCCCACCATCAAACGATATATTTCCGGATTTCAGTCTGGATTTAAGGGCGTGCTTGGTGCAGAGGGCGTGAAGGATCCTTCACAGCCAAAGGGTGCCCGGTGCGAATTTATGCAGTCAGACGGTGGTCTTGTCGATGTCAATAGCTTTACCGGCCTTCGAGCTATTCTGTCAGGCCCAGCTGGTGGTGTTGTCGGATATGCGTTGACCAGTTATGACCCAAAAACCAAAATACCTGTCATTGGTTTTGACATGGGAGGAACAAGTACGGATGTCAGTCGATATGGCGGCCGATATGAGCACGTCTTCGAAACGACAACTGCTGGCGTTACCATCCAGTCACCACAGCTTGACATCAACACTGTTGCTGCTGGAGGTGGTTCTCGCCTGTTCTACCGCAACGGCCTCTTCGTTGTTGGCCCAGAATCAGCCGGCGCTCATCCAGGACCCGCCTGTTACAGAAAGGGAGGACCCTTGACTGTTACTGATGCCAATCTCTTCTTAGGCAGACTGCTGCCAGAATTCTTCCCTAAGATCTTCGGAAAGAATGAAGATGAAGGGCTTGATGAGAAGGCCAGTGCTGCCCTTTTCGAAGAGCTGGCGGCAAAGGTCAACGCAGAAATGGCGGAGAGTGGAAAGAAGGGCAATATGACAGCAGATGAGGTCGCGTATGGGTTCATCAAGGTTGCTAACGAGGCCATGACCCGACCAATTCGCTCTCTCACCGAAGCCAAGGGCCACGATACTTCAAAACATCGTCTGGCTACCTTCGGTGGTGCTGGTGGACAGCACGCTGTAGCAATTGCGGAAAATTTGGGCATTAAACAGATTCTGGTCCACCGCTATTCTTCCGTTTTGTCTGCTTATGGAATGGCACTCGCTGATGTGGTTGATGAGAGCCAGGTTCCAGAGTCAATGGCTTGGTCCGAGAGCTCGGATGTGAAGACCAATGTTGAAAGGCGAATGCAGGAACTGAGAAAAGGAGCGGTTTCACGACTTCAAGTCCAAGGCTTCAAGGAGGATTCCATTGTTTTCGAAGAATATCTGAACATGAGATACCGTGGAACTGAGTCTGCTCTCATGATCATCAAGCCGCAAGACGGTTCAACATTCGGAAATTCCTTCATCCAGCAGCACGAGAAAGAGTTCGGTTTCACACTCCCTGACCGTGACATCATCATCGATGATATCCGACTCAGAGCTATCGGCAAGAGCTATGATAACTTCCCCAAGACCGTTGACGAGCAATTGCGTGACGCGAAGCCAGTTCCTGTTTCCAAGAGCAAGGCCCACGGTACCCAGCAGGTATACTTTGAAGGTGGTCGTGTTGAAACCCCCATCTACAAAATTGGATCTCTGGAACCAAACGATCGTATTGATGGTCCAGCAATTCTTGGAGATGGAACTCAGACTATCTTGGTCACCCCGACCTCTTCTGCTCTTATCATTGATACCCATGTGGTTATTGATGTTGATGTTAATAAGAAGGGGAGCACAAATGTATCAGCTGCAGAAGTTGATCCAATTCTGTTGAGTATCTTTGGCCATCGGTTCATGGCAATTGCTGAGCAGATGGGACGAGCCCTGCAGAAGACTAGTGTCAGTACCAATGTCAAAGAGAGACTGGATTACTCCTGTGCTCTATTCGATAGCGACGGTGGCCTTGTTGCAAATGCTCCCCATCTGCCTGTCCACCTGGGCAGTATGTCCACTTGCGTTCGCACTCAAGCTGGACTCTGGAAGGGAAAACTGAAGCAAGGAGATGTCATTGTTACTAATCACCCTGAATTTGGAGGTACCCATCTCCCAGACATCACTGTGATTACCCCTGCCTTCAACGGTGATGAGATTATGTTTTACGTTGCCTCAAGAGCCCATCATGGTACGTATAACTTCCGTATAATAAAAACCGTCTTTCCGGAGGTACTAACATGCCATTTTAGCGGATATCGGAGGAATCTTGCCCGGATCCATGCCTCCACACTCAAGAGAACTTTACCAAGAGGGAGCTGCTATTAAATCAGAGAAACTTGTCTCTGAAGGAAAATTCAACGAAGAGCGCCTTGTAGAACTGCTCTATCATGAGCCTGCTAAATACCCTGGCTGTAGTGGGACTAGATGTCTTGCAGACAATCTCAACGATCTGAAGGCACAGATAGCCGCAAACCAGAAGGGTATCAGCCTTATCTCTACCCTCATTGATGAATATGGCAGCGAAACTGTCCAGCTATACATGAGAAGTATCCAGAAGAACGCAGAGCTTAGTGTGCGCAACTTGTTGAAGCAAGTAAGCGAGAGATTCAAGGGTGCAGACTTGACTGCAGTTGAACATATGGATGATGGCAGCCCTATTCATCTCAAAATATCCATTGATGCTGAGAAGGGAGAGGCGGTCTTTGATTTCGAAGGCACCGGCCCAGAGGTCTATGGTAAGCTTTTTTTAGGAAATCATTGTGTATACTGAGTATACAGTTGCATTGCTAACCATCACACAGCCAACACCAATGCTCCTGAGGCCGTCACATACTCGGCTATTATTTACTGCCTGAGATGTCTCATTTCTGAGGAGATCCCACTCAACCAAGGTTGTCTGAAACCCATTGACGTGCGAATCCCTAAGGGATCATTCCTTTCACCTTCCAGCAAGGCCGCAGTTGTTGGTGGAAACGTCATGACGGTAAGTCTTTTTCTTTTTCGCCATCTATTATATTGCTCTACAGTCGATGAATCATGTTTAACAAATGAATAGAGTCAACGTGTCACCGACGTTATCCTGAAGTGTTTCCAGGCATGTGCTGCCTCCCAGGGCGATACGAATAACTTGACATTCGGCTTTGGTGGCAATCTATCCGGTGAAGAGGAAACCAAGGGCTTCGGATACTATGAGACCATCGCTGGTGGTAGCGGAGCTGGCCCCGACTGGGAGGGAACCTCTGGAGTCCACACCCATATGACGAACACCCGCATTACAGACGCAGAGGTGTTCGAGAGAAGATACCCTGTCCTCCTCCGAGAATTCAGCCTGCGCGCTGGATCCGGAGGAGCGGGCCAGAACCGCGGAGGCGATGGTGTGATTAGAGATATCGAGTTCCGCATTCCGGTACAGGTATCTATCCTTTCGGAGCGTAGGGTTTACCATCCTTATGGCATGAATGGAGGAGAGGACGCCGCCTGCGGACAGAACATCTGGGTACGAAAACTGCCCCAGGCCGAAGGATCCAAGGAGCCCTGTATCGTCAAATATGTAAATCTCGGGGGTAAAAACACCGCAAATATGGAGCCAGGTGATCGTATCATCATCAGGACTCCTGGAGGAGGTGGATATGGGAAGCCCGGAAGCCAGAGCGTCGTTCGAAAGGAAGCTGATCCTCAACTTGCTTGGAAAGGAGGCTCTTTGGCATCGCGAATCGGAACTCAAGAAACCAGCATGTGAGCCAAATATAGGTAGGTAGATAGCTAGGTGGGTAGCTATACCGAAGCCGGTTCACTGAGCCACACATCATTGATTATATCGCTATCCGATTAATCCACATTAGATCATAGACACCAAAACCCCCTAAAAGCGCGCAATAGAAGACCATTTCAAAAAAAAAGTAGATACCTCCATGAACCTTCCAATTGTAGGCGCCGGCCGAATTTGTAAAACACATTGAACCATATACATCGCAGTTGGGTAAAGTACCGCCAATTCCAACCCAGATTAAGGAACATTAATTTCAAGGCTGGAAAGCATTTATTCGCCATCATCCTCGTCGCTTGTAGCTTCGAAGTTCTTGGTAGGGGAAGGTTTGGAATCTGCTTTGGGCTTTTGTTCCGCGTCAGACATAGTCTCATCCTCTTCAGCGGTGATGGCAGCCTCCGAAAAGTCCGGTCGAGTAACCTTGCCACCTTTTTGTTCGACAACAGTTGCGATTTCAGGTAACAATGCAATGAGGTTGTTGAATTGCTCCAAAGTCATAGATATGCCCTAAAAAATGACTTAGCAGATCTTCTCACATATCAGTAACTGAGCCGTTCTTACCTTCTTGCCAGGCAGGTCTTGTCCGTCTTTCTCGTAGTATTCGCGTACATTCACTAGGACGCGTCCTTTGAATGTTGAGATAGTGACACGCCTTTGACGCGAGACCTCCCAGTATGGATCACCATTGGAATCAGTCTTGGGCGCTTTGTCTAACTTCGAAGATACCTGGGCGTTTGCATCAGCTTTCCCTAAGTCTCCAGCAGATTTGGCGGTTTTGGCCCTTTTGGAACGGTCTTCAGAGATTTTAGGCTCGACGTCTTCAGGCGATGAAGCTCGCTTTCCACGCTTGAAAGCCATGGTTAAAAACGCGATTTGATGATATTATATAGATAAGAAGCAAGGAACACGCGACGATATGAATCCTGACGTCTTCTATTCAGCGCTTGAATCAAGATCCCCAACAATTGGAGTCAACAGGAGCAGCTCAGAAGTGCTCTTGGTCTTGGTTGTTATATACATCAAAAAGAAAATAAGAAACGACGTCAAAAAAAGATGATTATGTAAACATTGCCAATCCATGAACACCTCGATAAAATGCGACTTACATAATCTAACCAGGGGCCCCAATAATTTCATCAAGCCATCAACAGATATAAAAGGGGGTAAGGAGGGGGAAAGCGACAGTGATAGGGGACATAATTAGTCTTTATCAAGCTAGAACGTATTCACTACCTCGTTTAATGAACTTGTCAATCATCAGGCCGATGTCATTGAGCGCGAACCGGCAAGCGTAGAATCCAAAGAATTCCGAGGCATGGCGGGTGCTGAGTTCAAGGCCAACAAGAGTCTGGGAGGAATGCCTTAGGCCTGGGTCCTCAACTTGGCGGGCGATCTGGTCTGTAAGATGGAGAGTTAGTTGATGGTTCACTGGGATGGAAGAGAGTCAGTAGTAAATGCTACATACCTATAACTTGCGCAGCGTCAAACAGCCTGGCTAGAGCGCTCATGTAGTTTGCATTTGGCCCGGTACAGTTGAGTTCAATGACGTCTCGCCGTGGAGAAACAGCGGAATTTGCGGTGTCGGCCATAGGCAGCGAGTTCATGGTCATGTTTTCCTTGCCATTATCTCTTGATATGCCAATGCCACTTGGGGTTGTGTTGGATACACCAGAGCTTTTCGACCGGAGTTTTCGCCATGAAGAAAGGTATGATTTGCTTCCTCCGCTAGACAGCCCCGAAGAACCGACTGCCGGAGAGGTATCGTCTGACGATAATTTGAAAAGTGCCATGGCACCCTGTACGCCAACTTCATTGCCTAGTTTCCTTGACCATACAGCTTGCACCTGATCCAGGATGCTTTCAAATGCCTGCATTTCCTCTAGTACCGCATCAGCGTCGTTGGTGTCCACTGTTGCTAGTTTCAGCAATGCCGCCGTAAGCAGATCGCAGTTGGAGATCTTTTCCTCTAGACCCTTGATTCGCACATTTTTCACTTTCCATATCTCTCTTGGTATGAAGAGCTTGTTGGTTAGATACCCGCCCCGAGGATGGGTTATTGTTTCGTAGAGACATCTCATTAACCAGAATGGGCGAAGAAGGAATGACTGAGGACAGGGCTCAAGGGGTATAGGAGCATCGGGGGCATTTGGATTAGGTGACCCTGGGGTGAGAGGGGAATGTATGTTGTTGTCAAACAGATGTTTGGAAGGTCCGGATGCACTGAGAGATGGTACAGAAGGCAAAGAAAAGGTCTTGCTGAGTTCAGGGATAAATGCAGAGGCGTATGGGCTATTGGGGCCAATCGCGGGCTTCCCCAAAGCTGCGGCCAAATATGTAGGTTCTCGGTGCGAGCTACCGGGTGCAGAATGTAACCTATTCAATGTAGAGGGAGGAGAGGTCAATAATGTATCAAAGTCGACAGACTCGTGAGGTTGAAGGGTAGGGAATGCAGAAATCGCAGGGGAGTCAGGGGCGGGCGATTCTGGAGAACCGATTGCGGTATGAGGACGTGGCTGTAACGCTTCAAGATTAAAATCGTTTGATAGTTTTGCATGACTTGTTTTTGATGGTAAGGGGGTTATGGGATGTGCTAGAAGCATTGATGGTGGTACTTGGCGTGGTCCCTCTATTCCAGAGGATGGGTGACCAGTCTCTATCACAAGCTCTTTCAGACGCCCGGAGAGTCTCCGTGATCGAACCGTGGTTGCCGACATGTTGCTATCTGCAGTATCTGGAGGGTTTGTGACTACTTGTGGCGGCGGCGAAGGGGGCGAAGCTTGCGTGGGCGCTGGTGGTAACTCCTGCTGCTGTATTGGAGGAGGAGGAGGAGGAGGAGGAGGCGGCGGAGGTGGAGGTGGAGGTGGTGGAGGCGCACCAACGGGCGGAGGGAGCTTCTGAAACGGCTGGGAATATGAAAGAACGTTATTGGATACAACTCCGGGAGGAATTGAGAAGTCGTCTTCCTCGGTGAGGGTCGAGAGTAGAGTGCCCGTGTTTGTTCGGCTTGATGCCACGGAGCTACCCCAGGTTCTGCCCGAGTAGCCACTCGATCCCGACTGCCGTGGAAGGGCCGATTTGGAGGAGAGATCGAACTCGAAATCATCCATCAACTCTTCCAGAATGCGCTCTTCTTCCTCAGCTTCATGATCTTCGTACTCATCGTGATCCAGGTCACCCATCTCGTCGTCATGCCCAGTGTCAGGCCTCCTTCGCTCCCGTTCTCTGGCAGAGACGGCCTCGGCCTCCAGCTCGGCTTCTCGCACTTTCTGTTTGGCCAGTTCGATATTCCTGCGAACATGGGACATGATATCGTGCTCCGGTTGATTGTCTTGAGGGATGATCTCCAGCCCGTCATCGTAGGCCGCCTCGACGGCTTCATCGAGAGCAGCATCGAACTCAGCTTCCGTATCCCTGCTGTAGTGAGCATCCTGCTTTCGGCGTAGATAGAGAGACGAGTTTGTCGAGCGTATGGAGGAGTTTGACGAGGCACCGGATTCATCAATGGTATCTAGCCAGGAGGTGGACTCTGTCCCCTTCTCCTGGAGGGTCCGCAGATCGCCATTGGCAACGTTCGCCGACAAGCTATCGTTTCTGTCGAAGCTAGCGGACCCATGCACCATGCCGCTGTCTTCACTGGAGGGATGTAGAGACTGCTGCCGTGGAGGGATGAACCGTTCGTCCGCCGGGTCCGTGGCGGGGCTTTTGATGAGTCTTCGGCTTGCGGTGGCGGTACCGATGACATATATATCCTGATCGTCTGCATCGCCATCGGTTATGTGGGTTGAGAGGAGGCTCTGAGTTAGCGATTCACCGCTCGGCGGTCTCTCTGGCAGGGCCTTTCCACCTGCCTGCAGCGCAAGTCCCAGACGCCGGAGTTCGTTTATTCGTGTAGTATACGTATTCCTCTGTAGGCAGTTGTTAAAAAGAGGCCATTCACCATCACACAGAAGAAGCAAGCTGTTGTAAACGTAGGGGTAAACTCACGATATCGTCCAGCTTGTGCTTCTCCTCGTCAGCACCAGCACGCTGCATGACCTGCGCCAGGAGACCGCAGGCGTCGGTGTATGCATCGATGGCGCCCTCGTAGTTGGTGGCATTGTCGAGCAGGACTGCGGTATTCGCCTTCTGCAGTGCTCTGGACAACATTGTCTTCTGCGTGGCTACCCTACCTTCGCGGGTGGGTGGTGGTGGAAGTTCGTGATTCCCATCCATCGATCCTCTAGGGCTATTGCTGCAACGTCGCTGACCGGCAAGCCATTCATCGAGAGTCTAGAGCAAGCACCACTATGGACATGGCCGACCTGGGGCTTAGGAGGAGCGGAAGCTGGCCATACGCCTTGTCGAACTTGGTGGAAGGCCGATTTTCCTTCTGCTCTCAGCAGTTCGATCGCTCGAAAGTGTCTCTCCCTCTCGCACTCTCCGTCCTGGATCTGGATTCGACAAGGAGGGAGAACCGATGGGCGAAAGGCAAAGGGCGAGAGAAGAGAGAGAGAGGATTGAGAATGCAAGGGGGGGCGGCCAAGGGGGCGCCGTCAGGGGCTTTCTTTTTCTTTTTCTTTTTCTTTTTTTTTTTTCTTCTTCTTCTACTTGCGCTTATGGCGTGGAGACCGCGATGAGAGGCTCGATGATTTTCCGAGGTTATTTCTTTTCTCCTCCTAGTCGACGGAGGCTCTTGTTGGTGGTGTGAAGTGGTGAAGTTGGTGGAGTCGAAGTTGGTATTTGGTGAAAAGAAGCCGTGAAGTTGGCGATGTCGTCGTTTTTAACGGTGGTTTTCTTATATTTCGGAGATAAAAAACTCGAACACGGCCGGCAACATGATTAAAACATATGTATCATCATGCTTACAGCCGTGAAGAAGCAGTTCGAAATAAAAAGGGGGAACTCAAGAGTTGTTGGTGTATGTATTATTCTTATCGTCTATCATACAGAGAAAATAAGAGCAGCAGGCGAGGTCTTTGTGGTCGATTTCACAATGCGGCCTCATCTCGAACAAGAGACATCCTCGTTGAAGGCCTTGTTTATATCTTCGTCTCTACGTTACTATCCTTGCCTATATTACAGCATCCATGCATATAATATCGCCCAACTTCGAGTTATCAACTTTGATATTTGATCTTTCTAGGGACTTTTTCTGATATTTGTCACGTGATGAGTATGTTTTAGCTGAGGAAGAAGAAAAGAAGAAGAGAAAAAAGACAGGAAGCAAAGACACGGAGAAGAAGACGAGAAGATGGAGATGGCCAGGGGTCGATGTCTGTCTCGAGCGGCCCAGGTGGGTGTTCGTGTGTGCTGCCTGGTAATGGAAGAAAGCTCAACTGACCCAAGATCTGTATACAGGTCGCAAAGCAGCAGCTCACGTCGAAGCCGCCGCAGCGTGGATACAAGCACTTCCTCAGCGTGCCATGTCGAGCCCTCTCTAGCACTGCGAAGTTGCCCGTCGCCCCCCGAGATCGCCCAATTAGCAGTATGCGGAGCAGACATGGAGCATTCACGGCTCCCTCGCATACCACCAAGCGTGACGCCTCGAGCTTCAAGGGGACGTACGTAGCCTACGGCGTGGCCAAAAAACTGTTCGCCGCGTGTGCGGAACAGGCAGACTACACCATATCGGAGGATCTCAAGAAAGCAGGGAATATACCCAAGACGCCGTCAGGCGAAGATATAGGAGAAGGCAGCGGTTGGTGGCACAAAGGTTAGCAGGCCATAGTTCCGTCTCACCAGGTTAAGCCTGTCCGCTCTACTTACTCTAACAGCCCATTGATAGAACTGGGCCTTCTCCCTACATTCTCCTCGTGGTCACAAGTTACCTTCCTGCACATGTACCTCATAACCGTCCGATTACGCGGGTTATCCTCGCCTGAAAGCGTCCAGACATACAACAGGTACCTATTCGAACACTTCTCGCACGAGGCGGAACGACGCATGGACGTGCTTCACGGTATAACATCACGAAGTATCCGTGTCTCATATCTCAAGGATCTATTCGTACAATGGCGAGGTGTATTGGCTGCATACGATGAGGGACTGGTCAAGGGAGACGCCCAGCTCGGGGCCGCTGTCTGGAGGAACCTGTTCAAAGGCCTGCCAACTGATCATAACGGCAATGAGCTCGACTGGGCCAAGGTCGCAAACGTCGTGCTCTACATGCGGCGGTCGCTGGACAAGATGTCCACGATGAACGAGATGGACGTCCTGACCCAGTTTGCAAGGGGAACAGGGGCTGAGGCGTTCTTTGACACAGCTGGCGGCGTGTCGATAGATCCGGAGAGCCACGATATGGAGCTGCCCGGGATCGGGCTCCGTATGCTGAAGGGCGGCGAATCGAAGCAAAGGATATGAGCGTTGGACTCATATACCTACTGTAATACTATGTAACATATCATCAATCACCGTCACAGCCTGAGTGTATCACATTTATATTCGTCTCTATATAAGCCCTGTTAAAAGGTCCTGCTTAGCTCAGCCTCTAGCTAGTAACAACTTTTCGAGTCGCCCGATCAACGAGAGAGGACGACAACAAACAGTTACTTACGCCCTCGCAGGAAGCCGTCGGGTAAGGTAGTATATATATATATAACAAAATATCATACTCGCGCAGACACACGCACACATATATACCTGCCAGTTGACACTGTTGGTGAATATTGACCATGGCGGATCCGCTACCACAGGTGCAAATTGAGCTCCCTGGAGACATTGAGATGGAAGAATCTACAGCTCCTCCAGCTGAAGGAAACGTCGCGGAACCCTCAGGCGAAGCAGCCAAGGAAGAAGAGAAAGCAGCAGAAGTTCCAGAGACTCAACAGCCAGCTGCACCGGAAGTTATCAGCCAACAATACCTCTTCCTTAAGTATGCAGTGCACCCTTAACACACCTCTACTGCAACATTGCTCCGTCAATTGAACAGCAATATAGCTATATTTAATCACTAGCTAAAAATTTATCTTGTTCTTCGTGGGTAGTTATCTTACTTCGCCCATAGTACAGCTGGTGTTGGGCAAAGGCGAAGAGCAGACAACACTTACAGCGCATCAAGCCGTTCTTGAACCCAGCCCATTCTTCGCAGAGAAACTGGCACAATGTGAACAAACAGGCGAGGTTTGTACTAATCCCCAGGCCTTATATTTACCTGTATGAATTATACTGACGCGCTTTCTAGCGGCGCATCATCCTCGAGGACGAATACACAGAGACAGTCGCATGTTTCCTCCAGTTCCAATATACAGGAGAATACTTCCCACGGCTACTACCTTCCGGAAAAGACCTCGAGCAAGACCCTGCCATCCCCAAGGTCGACTCCAACGGTGACCAGCTCCTCAAACACGCACGCATCTACAGTCTGGCTGAAAAACTCGGAAATGAAAAGCTGAAAGCCCTCGCACAAAACAAGATAGGCAGCATCGAGAGTAGCGCTACCGGAGAGATCGCATACGCTAGATATGTGTATAGCCATACCACACCAGACGATACTGCTATCAGAGCGCCGGTTGCGCGCTTCTGGGCTAAGATGAGTGATGTCTTACGTCATGATGCCGAAGAGGAATTCCGTGCCTTGTGTCTTGATCATCCCCAGTTCAGTTTCGATCTACTTAATCGTGTCCTTGACATTAAGGAGAAACGGACCAGGGAGCGCGAGAATACTAGCAGTCCCGCTTTCAAGGGGCCTGCGAGGAAGAGGTCCAGGGCATTCTAGATTATTGAGAGACAAGTTTCTGCTAGCTAATAAAGCATTGGTATAGATAGTGCCCCGAATCATTTTCTTAAGGCTATAAATAAACCCCCAACAGAGACACTGCTGGCACTTTCGTAGGCCTGTTAACACGAGAAATACTACGTGGAGAGTGGAAAGGAGCCGAGAGACTCGTTCACTAAAGATACAAAAGAGGCGCACACACGAACTCAACCCCAGCTTTTTTGGGATGAAACGACCGCTCAAACAATGGTCTTGTATTGGTGCAGGTACGCAAACGGATTAAGAACTGTTAAATGTACGTTTGTCGACCATGAAATGTTTGATCTATACGCTAAAACGTCGTAGGAGCTTGGCTAGATCATACATCGTGCTGCTTGCAAGCTTCAGAGTCCCTCCTAGCCAAAGCAAAGTCGCATCTGCAAAGGATGTTGACTCCCAGATGAATGCAGTTTATCCACTATTTGCCCCCACCATACGTTCTCAAACCCTTTTGCATCTTGTTCAGCCCACACTTCTTCCAATAATGGTATGGCGTTACTAAACATATGATATCGAGTCCTCTTGTCCCATATAGAGCAGAACTCTACGATCTTCCTGCGCAATGATCGATCTCTCAATTCGCATCCTGCAAAAAAGAGAGGCAGCAAGGCCTGCCGAGACACCATGCTTTGATCTCGACACGCAAAGACATGATCTGTAATAACCCTAGCCCGGAACAAAATGGCCGGAGGGACGCTGCTTCCGGGTTCCCATCGAAACACCCTGCATATGTACAGCAGAAGGCCATTTCTCCATGCTTCTGAGCAGTGCATGCTATCCTGGTCTTGTTGCATACTCTCCTCGCTTTGGAAGGCTGTCTCAGGAGAAATGTGATACCAGCAATCGAGTGACTGCTCGATTTCCAAGGCGGCGGTGGTGTCAAATGTGACGTACCGCATTGAAGATGATTTTCGCTTTTTGGCACACAATCGTGCCAGCTGCATGACTAGATGTACGAGACTTGGTGGACACCCGCACAGCCCGAAATAATCCCATTCTTGGCCGTCATGCTTCGACAATACTGTTTCGGGGTATGCGTAAGGGAACACGCAGTCTTCCCTTGATACTAAACTGGTTATTGCGTCCCACCTACGGAGTCAGCCGGAAATAATAGTCAATCAGTCGGGTGGGGTTTATACCATGTGAGAATTGCTACCTGGGCCATTACCCTCGCGGACGTGACCCACACCTCAATACCGCCGCAAGCCTCGAGAAGGCCATATGCTCCTATAAGATGTGTGTTCCAGTTTCCAAAGGCGGATTGAGTTTCCTAAGAATTAATCAACTGTTAACCTGGCCTAGGCCAAGTGGGAAACAGGTATAACTTACATCTAGCGAGAATAAGATTATAACTGCGTCAAGCATGGAGTACACGTCTTCTGCTTTACTGTACGAGCCAAGCTTCTCACGGAGTAATTGAAATGCAGCATGGCGATGATCCTGGGTTGATGTACTCTCGACGTGATGACCTGCTAAAGCCATCACAGCATGGATCAGAAAGACAGGTTCCGGCTCGAGGTCTTTCCGGTACCGAAACGGGTTTATCCGTAGATCAGACGTTAATGGAATTTTGCAGAACTCCCCGTTGTCTATAATTTGTCAGTAGGCGATGACGAGGTGGATGAGAGAAGTTCCAACATACACCTCCCGAGGATAGGCCCAAACCGCTGGCAAAGGTCGCCATATAGTACACCCGGCGGTATAGAAGTATACGGAAAGCATGTAGAGATTATCTCTTTAGGGGCGACTTGGCTCGGCTCTAAAGTAACATGATCAATGCTGCCTCTCTTAGATGTCTGCAGTTGCCTGTTCGCTTTAGAATTATGTAAAAATGAACGTGTATATCGATCCTCGCTATTGCGCAGATACTGGTGAGGTTCAGTTATCCTATCAGTCGTCTCACTCTCGATCAGGGACAATTCATCACCCTGCGTCTGCCTACTACATCGAGAGCCAGGCCTTGCCTGACCGTCAGTGATAGGTTCAACAGATATCTCTGAATACGTGGAATTGTTGGCTGATGGGGATTCCGTTGCCCTATGTCCTCTCACAGGATGCTCCACGATGAATTCAAATTGCTGCTGTGGCCTGTTTGTTTCCGTCGGCAGTTGCGGCTTCTTCCTGCGTGCCGTTGGTCTTCTAGCTGGCTTCCTAGACAGGGAGAATATTGGCTGCCAAGATAGCTGCATTGTGGTTATTTCGTTGGTTATTATGTATCTCTCGATCGGCCACAGTTTCCAATTATGTACCAGGTACCACTGTTTCTCTCTACTCTTTTATAGAAGGTTTGGCTTACCTGCATAAGCTCGCCAAGAAACGGAACGGCAAGGAACCGGGGTTGACGCGGCAAACAAGCGCAGAGCACGTGATATAAAAGTCAAATTTAACGTAGGGACCCGCGCTTTCCCAAATTAGGCTCTTACCACTTTGGGACATTTACCTAATCTAGGTCATCAGCCGCCGCCAAATATGGGCTTTGATGAAAAGGGACTCAACTTCGTCTATATTCGTCTATACAAGGGCCTCCACGGGATGAGCAGAGATTTCTTAATACCTGAGTAGCCTAACAATGACGGGATATCTATATAATACTCCCAGGAGCTCTGGTACTCTAACGACTACGATTCACACACATTCTTCTACCTCTGTTCTGCAACAATTCTATCAAGAGATTAAAGTGAGAATATGCAACTACCTCTAGAATTCACCCTGGGAACAATGGTAACGGGGGAGGTTAAAGCAACCCAGAATCAAGTAGCAAGTTCTTCTACTGAAGGTTAGCCTACAATTACCAGAGTTCTCAATCTATTCCCAGTTAACCATATAAAACCAGTGCAACATTACAACCTAGATACAATTATTGTTCGTTGGGATGGACCAGATGACCCCCAGGATCCGTTCAATTGGCCGCAACGGGAAAAATGGCTAGCAACCGGATTTGGTCTTCTTGCAAGTTTCGTCTGTTCTATTAACGGGACCCTTATTGCCGTTGCTCACAAGGCTATCAATGAAGAATTTAACGTCTCAGACGCCAATTTTCCTCATTCCTACTGGCTGACAACATCCTGGGGAGTCGGGGCCGCGCTGTGCCCCCTAGTATTGTTTCCTATTATGGAGGACGTTGGAGTTCGACCAGTGCTTCTTAGCACCTATTTCTTCTTCCTCTGCTTCTTGGTACCAGTTGGCTTTGCTCAAAATTTTGCTACGCTTATAGTAGCACGGTTCTTTAGCGGCGGGTGCGTTCCGATCATGAGCGATGCTGTAGCTAGTATCATATCCAACGTTTTCCAGGGAGACCGAGACAGGAGCACGCCTATATGCCTTTACGTTACGACGTATCTGGCCGCGACGAGTATTGGCCCCGTTGTTGGGGCATCTATACTTCAATCTCTTTCCTGGCGCTGGATTGGTCATGTCGAGTTGATTTGGACAGCCGCGCTTTTTCCTCTCTTCATTATCGGTCTTCCCGAGACCCGCGGTTCGGCTATTCTACTAGCGAGAGCCAAACACCTGCGTGATACGGGAAAGAAGGTATATACGGCTAATGAGGCTCGCCATAATACAAAATGGTACCAGGCCATCCTCAAAAGTGTGCAACGACCTCTGTATATGTTATTTACAGAGTCTGTGGTTTTTGTTGCAGCTCTTTGGGCTGCCTTTAGCCTCGGAACGATCTATCTATTCACTCAATCCATTGAACTGGTATATGGACAGCTCTATGGCTGGGATGCCGTACAGGCAGGTTATGTCCAGGTTGCCATTGTGGTTGGCGAAATCCTTGGTTGCGGATTCTGTATATCCACTAGCAGCTGGTACCATGCATCTGCTACCTGGAATACCGAAGTTCCGGGGATACCTATTCCTGAGGCGAGGCTATATACCTCAATCATCGGAGGCTTCTTTGGTATTACTGGCGGAATGTTTGTTTATGGATGGACATCATACCCTACCGTCCACTGGACAGCGCCCACCGTTGGTTTGACTATGGTGGGTTTCGGGACAACCGCTGTCGTGATAAGTATTGGAAACTATCTTATCGATGCATACAGCAAGTATGCTGCGAGCGCTCTTGGGGCTGTTGGCTTGGTAGAGAATACGACCATTGCCTTTCTCCCGCTTGCTGCGACAGCACTGTACACGGGTCTTGGATTTCAGTGGGCAAGCTCGCTTCTCGCATTCGTGTCCTTTACTCTTGTTGCAACTCCGTTTGTAGTTTTCAAATGGGGCAAAGAAATTAGATCTCGCAGCCCATTTATGAAAGAAGCCACTATCGACCGAGAAAGAGACCATAATGTTGCAGCTGGTGCAAGAAGGGACCAGTCATCAACAGTATTCGACACAGACTAACAGACTAATAACGTTTGGAAGACTGTGCCGCATCCATTTACTAGGCCGCCTTATATTTCAATAAGAATGCAATATTTCTCTTCGTATAAACGAGATATTAAGCGGCACTGTAGCATATGCTCCTCTGTATGCCGGGCTTGACAGTAGTCACTCAATGCTCAAGGAAATGTTCGAATTGGTCACCATGGAGAAAGAGAAAGGATAGCTGCTTAAGTCAGTATAATGTGGGCCCTTTTAGAATGGGTGTGCGGTTTAATACTAAGGTAGATTAAGCCAGGGTATCAAGGGATAGTCCTCCGTAAGAACCCATTAACTTCATGGGGCTCTTCATGTTGGTTATGGACGGATATTCTATTGGAACCAACCTTTCGACGAGTTTGGTGCTAGTTAGCGACCTCTGCCGCTACCCTTGGCTCGTTATCGCTTACCACCTTGTTTAAGATGTCTCGGTACCTGAAATACATGCTATCACTCTGGCAGGCCATGTGATTCCCGGACATCTTCGGGTTCTCTGCTGTTTGGGCTAGCTGGCCTTAACACATGAGGTAAAACATGTTACTATTTGCAAATCAACTGGGTAGATCATAAATATGTACATTCTCCTTCCCTAGTACCCTGCGTTTTTAGTACAAGGTAGTTACTTAGCACCTTCTTGGACAATAAGTTCAACCTCCTCTGGCTCCTTTGGCACGGTGGTCAGATTCTCGAAGCCATTAGCTCGGACGACAACATTGTCCTCGATACGTACGCCTCCGACAGTCCAGTATTTGTCAAGCACGTCGGTGTTGATGTACTTGCTAGTCTCTGGGTTAGTGAGGAATGGCTCAATGATGTAACGGCAGAAGTAGACCTAAAGTATTATTAGCTAGAGATGAAAGAGGGTTGTGATGAGTGTGGTAGAAGCACTTACACCGGGCTCGATGGTGATAACTGATCCCTCTGGGACGGTGCCTCGGAGGCGCAGATACTTAAACATGCGGTTAGGGTCTGCTGGGTTAGGGTTACCACCAACATCATGAGTATCCATGCCGAGATGGTGGCCTAGACCATGAGGGAAGAAAGCAGTGCTAATTCCCTTCTCGAAGATCTCATCCTCGGAACCGGTGAGGATACCAATCTTGAGCAACCCCTTAATGGCAACTCGATGAACCATGGCATGCATGTCATCGAACAGAACATCAGGCTTGATCATACTAAAGGCAACTTTCTGCATCTCCAGGGCGATGTCGTAGATCTGGCGGGCCTCAGGTGAGAATTTTCCCGAGAGGGGGAATGCACGGGTGATGTCTGCGCAATATGCTTTGTACTGGCATCCGGCGTCGATGAGAAGAAGTTGATCTTTAGTACCAGTGGCTGGGTTGGTCAAGTCACCGTTATTCTTGGTGTAATGAAGGGTGGCGGCGTTGGGGCCGCAGGCAAGAATTGGGTGATAGGACTGGTCTGAGCAGCCATTTGACATGCATACATAATTAAGGGTAGCATATAGCTCTCTTTCGTTGGTCGACTTGGTGGCAGCCTTCATCACCTCGATGTGGGCCTTGCTTGAGACCTCGTTTGCACGTCGAAGAAGACCAATCTCATACTCATCCTTGACCACACGGCAGGACTCGATAGCAGTTTTCAAGGCAGAGTTATCATGTTGCTTGAAAAACGAAAAGGAGACTTCTGGGCAGACTCTGTCGGCGATTGTAAAAACTTTTTCACCCCCACATTGTGCGAGGTAGTTGTTTATTTCAGTGTTGAGGAGCACAGCGTCGACGTCGAACTGCTTCAAGGCCTCGGCGGGCTCGAGAGGGAGGCCTGACCACATAACCGAGGCCGGGTCGACTGGAGGAATGAACAGGGTGAGCTCATCTTTCTCAATATTGTATGCAACAGAGCACTCGGCCTCGAGACAGCCGGAGAGATAGAGGAAGTTGCGTCGTTGGCTATTATACTCCGACGTTAGCTCACACCCTCCTTAATACGGACATATATATACGGCTTACCGGAAGTGAAACGGCTCGTCACTATCGTCAATGATGTGTTCCTTCTGACCCTCAACGAAGATGATACCACTCGAGCCATGCCCCGCAGCCTTGAGCTTCTCCGCGACGCGTTTGGCGTGACTCTTCGAAGGGTACTTGTCAACGTTGATATCCATGGTTACTGAGCACCGGCTATAGGGCAAGGATAGGCTGCTTGAACTGTGGTATATAGAGGCGAGAGATATGGACGAGTTGAAAGTCGTAGATGTCTTTTGTAGTTTTTGTTTCTTTCTCGCCCTTTTCGGTCGTATTGAAGCCGGGGAAGCGCGGGGCTAAAGATGGCTAACACCGGGTTGGATTACATAACGGCGGATGTTGGTAATATCAAAAAGGACAAAAAAAAAAGGAGATGAAGAGAGTGAAAGAGGGAGGCCGTCATCATGAAGTCGAGGGTTGGAAGATGAGAAGATGCTGGATGTCGTGGCTAAAAGTAAACAAAAGGTGCATTGGGCTAATATAGCTCGACCTCGTCGTCGAGAACCTCTTCAAAGTCGATTGACCACTCATCAATCTCGGCAAATTTCTTTTTCTGGAGCAGTAGCTCCTCGCTTACGATAGGAGCTACTATATCTCTATCGGAAGATACCTCTAGCTCGTCAGGGAGGTTCTCTTTATCCCAGTCTGCATCTCCGTCCGTCTTGCTGAGGCGTGAGTATGTCTTCTTGGGCGTTGTTCTTTTGGTTGGATGTGATGTTGTTGCTGCAGCTTTACCACGACCTTTCTTCGGCTGTGTTGTGTTCTGTGCCTTCTCTCGCATCTTGAACTTGGCCTGGCCCTGTGATCGTTTCGCACTCTTTTGTTGACTTGGTGTATCCTCCTCCGAGGCCTGCTGCCCTCCGGTGTAGTTGAGTTCATCTTCCGACCCCGGAGCAGAGAGCACATAATCCTTAGCTCCAGCTTTAGGGCGTTTGCTTCTCCGATTAGCTAGGCCTTTACGGCGCTGACGCCGTCGTGGCAGTAAAGCCTCTTGTAGTGAAGTAGTAGATAGATGGGGAAACCTCGAGGGTGGGCAATGTGATTGCTGTTTTGCAGAACTCTGTGGCGTTGAAGCAGGAGGCGTAATAGACCCTATACTGCTCTCTGGCGGTGCCATCGTCATTGTCTGCCGTCTTGGTGCCTGCACCTGCTCAAGCGTAAAATTCATAGCCGGTAGAGAGTCGATAGACGTAAGAGACGAACAGTCATCATCATCCTCGTCAACAACAGGATTGACCTGTTGGGTTTCAGGAAGAACATGCCGTTCGTCTGTCTGTTGGTCGATAACGGCAGGCTCTTCTGCCGGTTCATCAATAATGACAGGGTCTTCTGGCACTTCTACAACAACAGGTGGTTCATCTGGAGCTTCATCAAGAAGGGATGGCTCATCTGGTATTCTATTATCAGCAATAATATCATGCCTTAAAGGAATTTCAACGAAAACCTGCGGTAGTTTGGGTGTCTTCTTATTTGCCGTGGGTGTGATATCAGCCTGCTTCAGCGATTTCCTCCTCGACGCTGGGAGTGGTGTAGATACGTCCTCTGGATCAAAGCTACCGAGAAGGTCTTCAGAGCCCAGCTCTGACGATCCAAGGTCCAAGGAGTCATCTCCCACTAGTTGTAAAATACTCGGCTGCCTCGGACGCGGGCGAAATGTACTCAATATCGAGCTCTCAAAAGCAGGTGTGTGTCCTCTATGGTTCATCTCCCGCCTCGCACTACCTGGGAATGCCTGCAGTCGCAAAGATGCCCCCATCCCAACACCACTAGATAAAGGCGCGTTTACCTGCTGGCGGTCTCGGACAGGAGTTTGACTGCCAGCCATCTCTCGTTCGCGGTCTTTCCGGGTCATCCCTGAGCTCTGATCCTGTACTCCATCACTTTGCCCCTCTGTCTCTGAGTGACTAGCGTCATTGCTTGTATCAAATTTGAACGTTGATGTGGGCTTTACTTTTGCCACAGAACCTTTGGACTGTCCGGTGGGCACCTTTCGCGGCCTACCTCTCGTCGCATTCGTTTTGGCAGGCTGTGCAGCAGCAGGAGGATCGTTGCGCGCGACCCGAGCTCGTTTCGCCGCTGGTCGAGGCATGTTGCTGGCTGGGCTAACTTATCCGGCCGTAAGTTTTGTATTCCTGGCTTCTATATGAAACGAATCTCAGTCCTTACAGCGTATCCGCTGTATTCAGTGTCGTTATGAGGTTTGTCGCGCGGTTATTGAATAATATGTTGAAGTTGACGCGCTTCTTGTTTTGTTAGACCCAAAAACAGTTTAGCGTCAGAAAGAGAATAAGCTTCTGATATTTACATCATTGGGAAAATCCATAGTTAATACTAAATAGAGATAAGGACTAATTATCAAGGACTTTCAATTTAAACCTCGGGTGGCATTAATTAAAGATAAAGAGGCTGAATGGGTTCCTAAGTCTTTTGTGGAGGGAGAACCACTCGTTCTAAACTGCTGTCCACTACCGGTAATATCTGGGCAATGTTGTTTGGATCCCTCATCATAGCTGGAACATCTTTGCGTGAACCACCGATCGTCTATATACTTGTTTAGCACGGCAGTCCGTTATCGTTATCGCAACGTAGACATAGCATACCTCTCTGACTTTATCATACTCGTCCTCCTTTGCGAGATATTCCCGCATCACCTCACCTGTGTCAAAATCCACAAACACACGGGTATCCCGCAGTCGGAAGAGAACGTTATCTAACCGCATAAACAATCTAACAAGTAGAAGAAGGCACGTTGGCATGACGCGGATCTTGCATGACAGCATCGTGATTCCGTTATCAGCTAGCTCATCTTCATAAAGCATGATCTCATCGTAAAAGAGAATTGGATCTGGTCGTTTCAGCTGCTCTATTGGGATAGGGGTTGACGATGGCTCGAATTCATGACCATTTGATGTGACTGTTCCCTTATAATCTGTGGTATATGACCAGTCAAACGGTTTAACCACTTCTTTTATACCCTCGTGGGCTTTTTCTCTGTATCATATTGTCAGGGTCGACCTGCATAGAAGTGACCGTTTTCATTCCTCGCTTACCTGCTTTTCTGCCACTCGCCTGAATATGATACCTTGAGCATTGCAGAACCTGTTTTGTCCACTCGGTCCAGCGCATCGAAAGCATTAAAGGAGATGCCCCACCCCGATGGTATATGTTCGATCGACACCACGTTATCCCCGAATATCATTTCGGGCGGTGCAATTCCCAGTTTGTTTGTCATATCATCAATTGGACCGGCTTTGAGAATTGGTAGTTTTCTAGTGGTTATCTTGAAGCCTTTCCTTGTTATTGAGCTTGGTGGTGTGGCTTCTGGTGAGGGGAAGCTCGACTGAGTCCCATTTGAAGATGCCATGATGATCGCCTAGAACTTCAGTAACAACTCAGTGTGTAATTTCTGCTGCGACTGCATGCAAAAAATAGCCGCCTTATTTTTATTTCTTCATGTTGTTCTCCTGGTCGTTCCGTTATTTCTTGCTTTTTCCCCTTTGAAGAAATGATATCACGTGGTTGACGGATGAGATAAGCCGGAGTAAGTCGGGCCGATGGTTGCTGCGGCAACGACGAAAAGCGCTTTTGTGTAAATAGAAATCCAGGAACAACTTTGGGAGTTTCTCAACTCTTCACCAGGCAGAAAACAATCTTCTTTTCTCTCGCTTGGATTACACATTGTTTTATTAACGGTTGCAAATTACATCGCATCTGTACACCACTCCACTACTCATCAAGGATGTCTACAAAGGTTCTTGAAGCTCGCTTTGAGCAGCTGAACGTGAACGATGAGAACGAGCCTCCAGTCAACAGTCTTCATCTGAAGGCAAAGGTAAAGATTAACCATGCTATAACTAGCTAAATCACTAATGGCCTATAGGGAGTGCCGTCGAAATGTGGCCCAACCTCAAACTCTCACAGCAACCAGAGCTCAAACAGACCCAACCTCTTGAAGCTTGCGCTGCAGAACAACAATGAATCTAAGTCCCATCGAAGCCCGCTAGAGGAAGAGTCTTCAAACACATTGCGCATGAATGACTCGGCGGGGAATCCAAAAAAGTTCCATCTCGGCATGTTCGAGATTGGCAAGCCCCTTGGCAAAGGAAAGTTTGGAAGGGTATATCTTGCCCGTGAGAGATCAACTGGCTTTGTATGCGCATTGAAGGTGCTACACAAGAGCGAGCTCGTCCACGGCCATGTGGAGAAGCAATTGAGACGTGAGATCGAGATCCAAAGTAACCTTCGGCACCCAAACATCCTCAGATTATATGGCCATTTCCACGATAGCAAGCGAGTGTTCCTCATCCTTGAGTTCGCCGGAAAGGGTGAACTATATAAGCACCTACGAAAGGAGAACCGGTTCCCTGAATGGAAGGCCGCCCAGTACATTGCTCAGATGGCTGCTGCGCTTAAGTACTTGCACAAGAAGCACGTCATGCACCGCGACATCAAGCCAGAGAACATTCTTGTCGGAATCCATGGAGAGATTAAGATCAGTGACTTTGGCTGGAGTGTACATGCTCCAAACAACCGAAGACAGACAATGTGTGGTACACTCGACTACCTGCCACCAGAGATGCTAAAGCCAGGCAATGGAGATAAGTGGTATGACGAAAAGGTTGACTTGTGGAGCTTGGGGGTCCTTATATACGAGTTCCTCGTTGGTGAGGCCCCCTTTGAAGACTCGCCAGTCATGACCCACAGGAGGATTGTTCGGGGAGAAATGACTATCCCATCGTTTGTAAGCCCTGAGGCTAGAGATCTCATTAAAAAGGTATATTCCCTCCCCTTTCATCTCAATACCTTTCGTCCGGTATCACTGACACTGGTGGAATTAGCTTCTTGTACTTGACCCAGCCAGCCGAATCCCACTGGATGAAGTTCAAAGACACCCATGGATTTTGAAATACTGTGTCAAGGGGGAGAGAGTAGCGCAGAGAGAAGCTGCAAGCAAGAGCAACAAGGCTAAATGAGCAAGAATAAGGAGGGGTATTTTCAAAGTCTATCTATTGTTACAGCGTCATGATTGAGCGTTTTTGTTTGTGTTTGTTTCCTTTGGTTTCCCATAATATCTGGTGTTATCGGTATATTTCGTCAAATGGTCGTGTATCTCGAAAGCAGCTTTCCCATACTTCATCCACTACTCTCAAAGCTTGTTCCTTGCTCTTGCATGCAGGCCTAGCCTGTACAGACATCACGGCTCTTCGTCTGACGCATTCTTGATGGTGGTTTGCCAGCTTGAACTCCTGCCTTCCAAAGAATTCATTGGCCCATCTGCATTCTCCACTCAGCGAACTTGCTCGTATCTAGTCGGAGTTAGTATTTTTCAAGACTATTTCTCCCCCCCTTGACGCGGCGATCATACCTCCGCGCAAGCTGCATGCTTCAAGTTATCCACCCAGTCGAGCTTGAATCGCAGATGGTCGTAGGCATGCACCATCTCGTGAGCTAAGGTGTCCTCAAGCTGACTTTGACTATTCATTGCATTCGCGCATATCTGAATTCCGTACTCAGGATCAAACCCTCCGCCCCTTCGGGCCGTACACCGCCGACAATAGATATTCTTCGAAGATATATCTCCTCCAAGCTGTCTGATATTATCCTGAAGGAACCGTATGATCGGACCTGGAAGTTTTTGTTTCAAAAAGTATCAGTACAGAACGGTCAACTCAGTCGGAGCAACAAAAAAGGGAGGGCTCAATGGTTTCATACTATAATTCAGTAGGTAATCCCGCTGCGACTCGCATCTCCTGCAGTCTGCTTCTTCATTTCGAAGGTCTCTTGCGAGCCGGAACTGTTCGACACCCTCGGGGGTCATCTTTCCTGTGATGCCTGCGTAGATATTCCGGAAGTGAGTAAGAATATCGTCCCCGGGCGTAAACCCGGTCGACTTCTGCTTCTTATCCGAGGCATCGCTGCCAGTCGACTGTGATTCCGACATTGCTTGGATGTGATACCTTTCTTTGCTCTCATCTTTCATATCTTCATCTTCCAAAAGCCTCAGAACTTTAGCTTCTTACATAAGCCCAAACGGATTAATAATATTCCGATGATCACTTCTGATTGGCTCGGCCCGGGTTTTCGGCCTAAGCTTTTTTTACTCGGTGGGATGTTTTTTTCCTCCCCAAATTTCTTCTTCTTCCCCTCCGAAGTTTCTGATATACATCAAGTAGATAGCGCCAGGAAGCCCACGAGTTAACGGACGATACGAAGAAGTGTCTTAAAAGTCCATAAGTATCTTTTTTAGAAAAGCCTTTGTAAAGTTTAGGCCGGTTACTTTCGGCTGGGTCGTTCAAGCGACGGAGGCAAAAAAGACCTTGAATACGTTGATCCAAGAGGTACTTTTCATCTTCATTCTCTTTACCCTTCTTATTTACTTTGTTGAGACCTCCCTCCAACAGGATATTCTTATTGACCGATATCTTTTAATTGTCCAGACTACGACAACGGCTATGGCGCAGAAAAGATCCCCTCCCACGGTGATGAGCACCGTCACCGAGCAAATCGGCAACACCCCTCTTGTTCGCCTCAACAAGCTCCCGAAGAGCCTGGGTATAGAAGCAACTGTTTATGCCAAGTTAGAATTCTTCAACGCTGGCGGAAGTGTCAAGGATCGCATTGCCTTGCGCATGATCGAGGAGGCAGAACGCTCAGGAAGAATAAAACCAGGTGACACCTTGATCGAGCCCACCAGCGGCAACACGTACGTTATACGCAAATGCAAGGTGCAACTTTGTTTTTTTTTTGGGTTAGGAATTAACGGTTGGTGGTTTTTAGGGGAATCGGATTGGCCCTTGTTGCAGCTGTGAAAGGTTCGGCTTCAATCCTTGCCCTTGGGACGTGAGACACCTTGCTGACCATATATTTCCCTTTCCAGGATATAAGGCGATCATCACATTGCCTGAGAAGATGTCTGCTGAGAAAGTTGCTGTTCTTCGTGCCTTGAATGCTACCATCATCCGTACCCCTACCGAGGCAGCGTTCGACTCCCCAGAATCGCATATTGGAGTAGCCAAGCGTCTGGAGAAGGAGCTTCCTAATGCGCATATTTTGGACCAGTACGGGAACGAAAACAACCCGTTGGCACACGAATATGGAACTGCTGAAGAAATATGGGCACAGACGGAGGGCAAAGTCAGTGTGGTTGTTGCTGGTGCTGGTACTGGTGGTACCATCACTGGAATTGCGCGTGGTTTGAAGAAGCACAATTCTTCAATTAAAATTATTGCAACCGATCCTCATGGATCTATCCTTGCTCTGCCTGAACCACTGAACCAGGAACATCTTAACGAGGCCTATAAGGTGGAAGGAATTGGATACGACTTTATTCCTGATGTTCTTGATAGAAGCATAGTTGACAAGTGGTACAAGACGGGCGACATGGAGTCGTTCAAGTATTCCAGACAGCTTATTGCTGACGAGGGTCTCCTTGTTGGTGGAAGCAGTGGAAGTGCTATTGATGGTTTAGTGCAAGCCGTAAAGGATGGCCAGATTGGCAAGGACGACGTCGTTGTCGTTGTATTGCCTGATAGCATCCGAAGCTACTTGACCAAGGTATGTCTAGACTTAATACTTGCCCGTTGCTGGATACAAACACTCACCCACTCTCCATAGTTTGCCGACGACGACTGGCTTGCGGCTAACAACCTACTCCCTGAATCCACTACCCAAGCCCCGCCATCACCACAACTGGCTCACAAGGGATCAATGGATCAATTCGGTGGCGCCAAAGTCAAGGCCCTACGCCTCAAGCCTGTAACTACTGTGTCTGCCAATTCGCCTTGCTCTGCAGCCATTGAAACCATGAGAGACAAGGGCTTCGACCAGCTTCCGGTCCTAGCAGCTCAAAGTCGAAGACTGGTTGGTCTAATAACTCTTGGAAACGCCCTCAGTTGGATTTCTCGCGGCAGAGCAACAGGCAACAGCCCTGTATCAGACGTCATGTTCGACTTTTCCAAGATCTCTGAAATTGTGACCGACCCACGAAACCTGGACAAAACTCCCAAGGCGGGTGATGACCAGGCCGGCAAGCGCAAGGAATTCCTTGAGATCACCATGGATACACCCCTGAGCGTACTCAACCGTTTCTTCGAATGGAACAGTGCGGCAGTAGTGACTGAGAAGGATGAGTCTGGACACATGAAGCCACTCGCCGTTGCAACTAAAGTCGACCTCTTGACATGGCTCCTACAGCAAAATAAACTGAGCTAGATGCTGTTGCTCATCATTGCCTTTCGGTTCTCGTTTCACAGTCTAGAGATTTGAGTGATATTTAGATCAACGTTATCACGACACCCTTTGTTTCATAGTTCTTCAACAGGCATGCCTTATAGGTTAGATGTTTCAACGACTGCTGCATTATTTCTGATTCTGAGTTTGGAGTTTGTATTTAGATTTTCAACATTTAAACCGTATACACGGATGGGATAATACCACGAAATACGTCGGGGCTCTTTGCTGATGAATTGCCATTCTAAGATGTACTTTGCGAGCGAAAATTTGTCGGTAAGGAAAATGCACGCCGTGTTTTCCCCTGAGGCCGTCACAAGTAGCTGCTGAGACGCCTGTGCTAGGGCCACGCGTAATGCACATGGCTCCGCCGTCGGATATTACAGTAGTAATATCATTGGCTTGGTAGGCTGGGCAGGGAGATCCATGGAAAGAACCTCACGTGTAATATAAGAGCTGTTTCTGACTAAGAAGAGCTCTTCATAGCAATAAAAAAAATTATTTGTTTCAATCAAGTTGTTAGAACTCATAAAATCGTTCATAGACGTTGGCCCATCCACTCTTCCCAGGACCGAACACCAGACGTAGCATCATCTCGAAAATCTGATGTGATGCTTCCTCCGAGGAAATCAACTTTAATACCAGCCTCGTCTTCCAGAAGCTGGAAAGTGAAAGGTTGATCACCCAAGTTATCGGCCTCACCGTCGTCTTCAGAATCAGGGTTTAGAACGCCCTTGCGTCTCGTCTCACGAACTGCTTCGATTTCGGCTTCTAGCTTTTCCTTGACCATCTTTGGCGGAATTGCAGCGAATAGATCTTGTTTGTTGGCAGCTACGAGGATAGGTATATTGCGTGACCGGGTAGACGACGAGAAACGGTGTAGTATGGCCAGGACATCATAGAGATATCTTGCAATATCGGCTAGCTGGCCGGGATCCAACAAAGTGGCAGCATCGATCATGAAGATTACACCCCGTATCCGGCTCTTGGACTGTTTCTGTTTTGCCGGATCGAGCAGTTGAGTAATAACTTCCAGATCACGCAGCTTTCCATGACCAGGGGTATCTCTCAGGGAGAAAGTCACCTGCTGTTTGGCTGCCTGTGCTATGGTCGGATCGTTGATAGAGCGGTACTTATCCGAACCCTTCCGTATGGTAGGATGAAGTGATACAGTGACTGTTGATGAGACTTGAGACGTATGAGTCGGTCGTGGCCCGAAGTTTGAAGCAACGCGTTTCTCTAGCTAGAGAACTTGTTAATGGATGCACTAATTTGTACAGCATGGAGGGAAATACTAACTAAAGCACACAGAGCTGTCTTGCCTGACCCGCTAGAGCCCAGTAAGAGAAACTCATCAGGCTTGCTGGTGGAAGCTGTGCGGTAGAGAAAGAAATGTAGACACAGAGGCAGCAAGAATGCCACGAGACAAGTGACCACGATAGCAACTGGGTTGGCCGATAGAAAGTAGGTCGCGACCTCACTCGCAGAGTTCCATTGCATCGTGACGCTTTCCTGTTCTTCTCCGTCTGCTGTCAATTGATATCTTCTGCGACTTGAGCTCTTTTATAAGAAGGACGCTTAGTGTGATAAGAGCAGCGAGTCACTTTTTTCACACCACCAACCGCTATATATACCACACAAAACGAGGAGTCCTAGCTGCCAGGATCTACCACCACCGCCAGCAAGTCAGAAGCCAGCAGTAAGTAAGCAGGCGTCAGAGAAGCAACAAGGGTCGTTGCCTGTTGAGGGGAGAAAAAGCGCACCAAAAGCTCAATAATATTTAGTAACTTTATAGTCGCTAACAACTTCGCGGCCCCCAAACTTATCCACGTGACATAAATAATTACGTGATTATTACATAAGCCAAGAAATGACTAAGCCGCTCTTATCCTTTCTTATCCTTTTTTCCGTTTTGGGACCAACAAAAAAAAGGCCCCAAAAAAGGAATCCAAACATCAACGCAAAAAACATCTCGTATTAATCTTGCCGACTATAAATACTCGCTTTTCCCCCCAAGGGGCCTTCGTGATGATGTCCCCTTTCTCTCTTCTTGCCCTTTTTGCGTGGTTCAGCATAGCCGCTGCCTCCGTCCAGTTTATAACTCCGCAGGAACAGGCGGTGCTGGATGTTAACTCCCCCATCGACATCGAGTGGTCATATCCAGAGAACGCTACCTCATACCTTGTGGGCACTGAATATAGCATATATCTGTGTGCGGGAGGCAATGATAAAGGCTCTCATGTAAGATGGGAACAAGCGGGCTGCTGTTGAACAATCGGCTTCTTTTCGCTAACTTGGTTGTGTAGGAACGCGTGGCACACCTGTTGAAGGAGACTATAATCACCAACCCTGTCCAGGCCTCTGCTTCAGTCAATCCTGATGTCGGAGGAGAGCATCTCTATGGCTAGTGAGTGTGGACTGTGGACTGTGGACTAGTTGGACAATGTGTGTGTCTTGTGCATTTTGTATCATACTAACTACTTGGTCTCTTTCCATAGCTTCCTGGAGGTGGTCCTTCACGCATCAAGTGGGATGCAAGCGTATTCAAGCCGCTTCACCCTCTCCCACATGACCGGCTCGTTCTCACCCAGTGTCGAAAAGGGCCTACAGTCCCTCTCAGAGGAATACGGACAGCCTGCTGTGCGAATACAGGAACGTCAGGTTCCAGCTCCGGGGGCTGCCGTGCCTCCAGCACCAGGAGCAGCAAACCCTCCAGCACCGGGAGCAGCAGTCCCCCCAGCACCGGGAGCAGCCAACCCGGTACCACCAGGAGCGGCGAATCCACCGGCACCACCACCACCAGGAGCTAAACCCCCCGCTGGAGCACCGCCCCCTGCCGCCGTACCTCCTCCAGCCGCGGTGCCACCACCAGCTGCACCACCGCCTGCCGTACCACCGCCTCCCGCTGTAGAACCAACAGTAATCCAATCTGTGCCTTATCAGGAACAGACTGGACTCACCAGATATGCTCCCTTGCCAATGCAACCACCAAAGAAGATTAGTCTTAAAGATGCCAAACCTCAATTCCCTACAAGCTCATACAAAATTGCTGTCACCTTCTTACCACCACCTACTATCAAGACTACCATCTCAGCATCCGTTATCCAGACCGCTGAGGCCCATGAGAACACGGTAGGTTATATCGCTCAAACCTGGGGACTTCATACACAGCCACCGCTGACCGTGTTTTATAGAACGCTGCTGCGCCGATGGATGAAGACATGGCGAGATTCCTCAAGCGATGGCAAGATTGAGATATAACCCCGACGACATGTTAATTATGAACTAAAAGGCAATACCATACCCCTAATTGAAATAGAATAGGTTACTGGAATCCGAGGTGGAAATTGAGACAGTCGTGAAAGAGGACACAATTCCTCTCGGCCATTCTCGCAACCATTATGGATCTTCTCCCATAGAATGAACGTCTGGAGTGGATGGACACTGGGTTTATAGGTATTCCAGCTGGCTTTGGATATCTACGGCGCTCTAACATCTTCCCTCCCTTTTCGAGCACTCAGAGTTACCAACAATGTTATGATATGATGATGTTGAAGTACACCTAGAACTTCGTCTCTATGGCAGTCGTGTTCCCACCTTCTATATACAGAATTGTGCAAAATCGCCGGTTCTCTCCACCATTACTGAATCCAGCGGTACTTTTTTCTTGCCCCTAAGTTTCTTCAGGCGGTGCGTAAGTCCCAAATCACAAAGAAAAAGGAAAAAGAAAAGAAAAACTCAACAAAACGGAACAAAACAATGGAAAAGGTATTACTTTTTGGCAGTCAGTACTGCCAGAGCCAGTCCAGGTCATCGTGTTACTGATTGGCGGAAGCAGCGGGGATATCACTAAGGGGGTTTTTATCATTATTCATCTCGGATATTGGTGAAGGAAGACTCGTTGGGGTTATGCATCGACTCGGCATTTCGAAGAAAGCCATGTTCTCTCGTGACACAGCATGCTCGCTGCCAGAGTATCCTAGCACAGAGTGGATCTGGGTACTCCTCAACCCTTTGATACGGGAAAGCTCTGCACTTCCGTAATTGATAAGGGCTCTGCCTACTTCTCTGGCTACCTTGGGAGTACTGCAGGTCATGGGATAGTCGTCGTTTAGATCGGCCTGTGACGGACGCGGAGCAACCATAAGCTTGACGGCTTCCATGTACCCAAACTTCCCTTCTACTGCTATCACGCTGGAAGGAAGAAGGCAGCCTGTTTCACGAACGATGTCGTACGCCTCTTCGGCAATATACACGCTTCCGTGAGGCTTGAGTCCATGTAGAAGCCAAAAGGACCTAGAATGCACTGGAGAGTCTGAAGGCAGAAAACAGGTGTGCAACGGCGGGTCAGGTTTTGTGTCTTCCACACCCAGTGCGCTGTCGGATGAGATGGCGTCGTTGGAAGAGTGATGCTCGATGATATCTTCGATGGTTCCTGGCCGGGAGCTACGGGTGATCACAGTGGTAACACCGGCACTTGTGGCCAACCTTGCCGCCACGATTTTCGAGCCCATCCCGCCGGTACCTAGAGACGACCCGGCACTTGACACGTCGGCTTCGAGGCTCGATATGTCCGGGACGATGTCGATAACCTGAGCATCAGGATTTGTTCGGGGGTTGGCGGTGTACAGTCCGTCAACGTCAGTCATGAGGAAAAGGTAATCTGCCTCAATCATCGCTGCAGTAATGGCGGAGAGTGTATCGTTGTCGCCAAATTTAATTTCCTATTGGATTGGATTTCTCGTCAGCAACCGATATCAAAGGATAACTGGGGTATTCACACGTACCGAAACAGTCAGAGTGTCATTTTCGTTGACGATCGGGATGACCCCCATGCTTAGGAGCTGTGCAAGCGTATTTTGCGCATTGATATATTGAGTCCGCTATGGTATTATCGGTCAATGGCTCTTTGCTCTTTCAATGCCTTATCTGATACGGCCAAAACTTACATCTACAATATCGTTCCTGGTGATAAGAATCTGGGCAATTGGCTGGCGTAAATGGCTGAACAAACTGTCCCAGGTACTCATGAGCTGGCATTGACCGACAGCCGCTAAAGCCTAGAAGGTATATGTCAATGGAAAGCCGACCAGAGATATTTGGCATGGAACATACCTGGATAGAAGGAAGATGCTTTGGCCTCTCAGCAACGTCCATCCGTCGCATACCAACGCCTACTGCACCAGACGATACAATGATAACATCGTGGCCATCTTTGCGCAGTTTTACCGCAGCCTCTACGATGAGCGTCAAGTTTGACAGGATCGGCTCGTGAGATTTTTCATCGACGATGGAACTCGTCCCTGTGCTCTCCGCGGTTAGTCATAACGTCGAACGGTTAAGAGAGAGACAACGATCAACCCACCAAGCTTTATAACCACCTTCAACGACTTTGAGCGTGCCATCTTTAATACCTGGTCTGATTCAGTGCGACCTGGGAGATATCCATGAGTATGACTAAATGCGGGATAATTTGGTCTCCTCAGCGACGAGAGAGAAGACTAGGAGATAAGAAGATCAAGAGGAAAAGCCTGACTGTGTCTCTCCGGTCCTGCGCTCGAAACCCTTCGACGTCGTCTTTCGATATATATAAATACCAAGATATAAATATATGTCATTCCCTTTCGCCCATTACGACTTTCCCTTTTCGGGCTTCAGCGGAACATCTTCTGCCGCCACCCACCGCCCTGCCTATCTTACATAAGCGGGGCAAAGTCATATGGGTCCCGCAAACCTTAATTCCATCTCCTTTTTTTGGTTTTTTGCATGTGGAAAATTCTCCAGGCTGACAACAACTACATCATACATGCATTTTGATATGTCTGATAAGACGATGAGACAGCGTTGGACTGGCCCTTCACCTCGTTAGGATCGATGCAGCTATTCCCCGGCTCTGCGCCACAGCGGATATGATGGGCCCCTTCAGTCAGCCGCCTCGCGGAAACAAAATCCCTCTAGCCAGAGAATAGCGTTTGAGCGCCCAAAACCATCGACTCCGTAGCACACACCCCATGGAGTTGATTTTGCGGACCTTCACCGAGCTGAAAGCCAGAGGAAGAGCAAGTTACCTTTGAGTGGAGCTTTGCGGCATACGCCTCTGTGACGTGTGTCTGAGATAATTATGCTCGAAGGATCATGTTTACCCTTGACCGCTTTGAGTGTGATTGACGCAAGGAGACGTAAAAAGGGGAAGAAAGAAGACAAGCCGAGGCGAGAGATGCCTTCTGTTTCTATAGTACAGAGTAGAATGAGTTACCTGAGCGCGCTCATTAATGGTATAGAGCAAATGATAGAAGAGTTGTAAGAAATCCCAAATTAGCCTTATTGTAAACATATACAAACTTTTTGCCGCGTCTGGTCCCGTTAGTGAGACATATACAGAGACCAGGAGCCAGGTTCATAGCATTAGTCCTCATGGATAGACATTAGGTATAGATCATTGAAGATCTTTCGAGGATTATATCTGCACAGCTAGTGAGTGGGTAACGGAGTGGTTAAGAAGAAAATTATTATTGTTTCAAACAGTAAGAGTATCATCTATAAAATATCACTGGCTAGTTTATCCGTACTATACATTGTTATTGAAACAAAACCCATCCATCATAACTCAGAATATCATGCTGCTTGCTATGCAGGTGCGGCGCTTTGAGACTTTCCAGATTGGCATCACTGGTAAGATAAGTGGAATAACACAAAAGAAAGCGACAAAAGAAAAGAACAGAAAAAAAAAAAATCTTGTCCCTTGACAAATGAAACGAACGGGGTGGTCAACAAACCAAATAAATAGAGAAACTCCAGTCCCAAAGTAAACGCCTTTGCCGAATCCCCCTGGCGCCTTGTCTGTCCTTGCACAGCTGGTGCAAAAGGAATTGAAAAAAGGAAAAAGAAAAAAAAAGAAAAAGAAAAATCGGTGAAGTATAGGTCTCGCTTCATAACTGAAAAACGGGGTATCATGCCGATTTTCAAACATCCATCATCTCCGCGTCTTCATTTAGAACTTCATCTGCCGGGCCCCAGTTCCCTTCGAAGATCGTTGCACCTGCCCGGCGTCTCTGCTCGGCCCATTGCACACCAAAGGACTGAAGGACCTCTTCAGCAACAGGACGATCTGGTGGGTTAGGAGAAATCATCCATCCAACCAGTTTATCGAGAGCTTGGTCATTGTCTGCATCAACCATGAAGGCTGGTGGCTCCGCAAGTTCTCCACTGCGGGCACTAGGAGCATCCTTTCGCTGAGCGAGCTGGAAGTAGTTGGAAGACACCTCCTGCGAAGAGCAATCTTTGTCAAAATCGTCGAATGAAGAGAGATTTCTGAGAGAAGACTCTACCAAGGGGTTGCCGGATGCATCACGAAGTATGTTACTGCTTTCGCCACTCCAGGTCAAACTTGGAACATCACTCATGTCGCCGTTGCGAAGTTTCTGCCAAGAGACCCCATTATCAGGTAGCTCGACGTTACCCGCAATCTCGAACATGATCAGCCCAAGAGCGAAGATGTCAGCAGGTTTGTCGTAACGGCCCATCAGAACTTCTGGTCCGATGTACTCTCTGTCGCCTTCACCTTCGATCCCAGCAGCTGCAGGCCATCGAGTGGCAAGGCCGAAGTCTGCTATCTTTAGAACGCCTTCGAATGTGATGAGGATGTTCGCTGGTTTCAAGTCAAGGTGAATAAATCCAGTATCATGGATATGTTTCAGGCCCTTTGAACGGTGTATGGTTAGTCCTCTATGCTTAGAACTCTATCGTAGGAGTCAACTTACATGTGCCAACTCAAGGAGTATTTTCCATATCCTAAAGTCGTCTAGCCGTGCCTTTAGGCCAACCTGAGATAGGAACACATCAAGGCTTCCTTCTTCACAGAACTCAGTCTGAATATAAAGGTAGCCTTTATCTTCCCAGCTATCAACATAGCTGATAATATGGTCAGAATCACGAAGAGCTTTAAGGGCAACTACTTCATTGTTCCGTCTTTCGCGGTCCTTGGAGCCTGCATATGGTTGTTTGGACTTTTTGACAGCCCATAGCTTTCTGCTTCCGGTGTTGGTAGTTGTCGAGTTGGATGAGAGGGGTGTTTGAGATTGGAAAAGCTGGTTTGGTGGAGAAGAGCGTTCGGAGACGGAGTAAACAAGGGAAAATTCTCCAGTGCCAATAAGCTCCACTTTGTCAAAGCGTGAGTTTAGGCACGGGTCAATATCAGGGGAATTATAACTTCCCAGCGGGAAACTAGATCGTTTCCCAATGTTTGGGAACGATTCGCGAGGGGCGGTAGGGGTAGCCGGCAAGGTGGATGCATTTGCCTCAACCAGGCTAAAGGTATGGTCATCTGGAGCCGTAATTGAGAGACTACTGGCATCCGGAGTCAAAGTGTGATCCCTCGGAGTTTTAGGAGGTCCGGATTCAGGTGTTTTACAGTAGAACGGGCTCGCTGAACGGTCCGTTAGCAAATATGTCGTAGATTCAATATTTATCAGAATAAGAAAAAAAAAAAAGGGGGGGGGCTGTCTTACAAAATAAACCTGATTCGGCCCTGGTGGCATCGAAGTTGTGCTGGCTTGAAGCTTGGAATTGAAATGGTGTGGAACTAGAAACGTGGTGTGGGAAGAGTCCTCGCTTGGTAGGTGTGGGAGGAAGGTCTGAGTCAGTGGCACATTGACTGTCAAAAACAGCTGATGGCGATAGTGGAATCGAGCTAATATCTCCGTCAAGGCTAGCCAGACTTCCACGACGAGAGCACGTAGACATAATGCGGGACGAAGAAGCCTTCACACGATGGGTGAATGGGGTTTCAAAGGAGTTGGAGGATTTGTGATAGGGAAGGAATTTTGCACTGTTGGCATGATGTACGGGTTTGGGCCCGAAAAGTACGTTAGATGCTCGTTTGCAAGGGGTCTCGGGCATGTTGTGGCTCATGGTCGAGCTGTTACGGAAGTCCGACGCATTCTTGTTTTTCTTCGAAATCAACCCTGTAGACATGAAAGCCGCCGGCAAGGGTTTCACGAGCTTGTAGTTTTCCGGGGTGGAGAAAGGAGACGCAGAGGCATTGGAAGATTCTTGTCGTAGCAGACTGGGCGCTCTGGGTGCTACAGCACCAATTGGGAGTGACTTGGAGAAATTCAAGATCGGCCTGGATTCTGTAAAGTTCGTGTTCACAGGCCTGTTGGTGGGAGAGTCATCCCCCACGCTCGAGCTTGACGAAGACTGCGTGATAGTGCGTGACAGGGGATGCATTGGAGGGTGGAAGGTCGATGTCGAATGGGACGCGAACAATGGTGTTGGCGAATTAGGAGAAGGCGAGGAATCGGCTGCATTGAGGGGGAGAAAGGTCGAGCTGTCAACTGGCATGCGGTACTTGTTCTGTAGCACAAGGGATCCATCATTATCTGCGCTAGTCTTTCGAGCAAATGGAGATCGTTCTTGGTGTCGTTGCTGGATGGTTGACCTTCTCAGCGAGGAGGACCGCTTTGGGATGGTAGAAAAGTAGTGGCCGGGAGCTGGGAATCGAGGTTCCTTCGTATTTGGACTGTTTAAGGGAGAGTTGATGGCCGAGTAGCTGGACTCGAAGACATCGAAATCGGCTCCAAAGCTGACGCCGTGCAGGCTCCTACGCTTGGCCGATGGGCTCTCAGCACCGAGGGGGTCCAGAGCCATGTCAACGTCCGCACGTTTCAAAGGGCTAGAGGAGAGTGTTGTTGGCTCCATGTTTCCGCTTCGTCGTTTTTCTCGTCCGGGGGCGGAGCCGTCCTCTGTCTGCTCACCGGGGGAGAGGACGAGGGGGCTTTCCTGGCCTCCTCTGAACAGCCCTGGGCTTGGAGGAGTGGTGGAAACCTTGTCGGCCATGGCTTCGAGAGCGGGAGGCTCTGGAGAAACGGCCGAGTTGCCATTATCCCGCGACTCACCAAGGACCCGTTTGGCAGGGCCTGAGGAAGCACTGGATTTGGACGAGTTCATGAACCGACTGCGGCGCATGGGCGGACGATGGATCTTTTG